CAAGTTTGATTGTTTAAGCCAGAATGATTTTACATTTAAGTATGACTTCCCTACGACTTTAAGTTTTATTTTGGAGGGAAAATAAATCCAGCATGTGGAGTAACACAGTTCAGTTAAATTTAATCTATTGAAGTATTAGACTGAATGTTTTATTTTGTTTCTGACTCTAAAGTTGTTTTTGGGTTTTCCTGGGGTGACTGAGGGTCAGAAGGCCCCAGCTTCTGTCAGTCTGCCCCCGTACCGCTATGGCTACATAGCAGCCTACCACCATCAGTATATGAATGTTTTCATAAATCAGAATACGTGGTGAATGTGTGACTGTAGTGTAAAGTGGTTCGGGGTCCTTGGACTCAATGCATGGCCTATACTCTGTAGAAGTACAGGCCATGCTGACGCACCGCTGCATTAGCAGTGGTCTGACCAGCATTGTGTATTCATGGACTGTAAGAGTCTTAAAGGAAAGCATTAAGTCCCTTATTTGTTTCTATTTTTTTCCTTTTGCTCCCTGACCTTTGCACAGGGCTGTACATTTCTGCAGCAGTTTTGGCTTCGATGCAGCATTTGGAGCCAAAATACCGTGAATAAGTCACACACAGACGCGCACAACAGCGCATGACCTCAGATCCAGCAGTACATGCTTACCTCCATAGATGACTGCACCCGACTCTAAGCAAGCCAGTCGCCGCTTACAATCCACCTCTGGTCACCGCTCTGCTCTCTCCTCCTCCTGCAGCCTGCTGGAGACTGCAGGCATTCTCTCTGTGTGAAGCAGGTTAGGCAGCCTTCCATTGTGCTGGCAGCCCTCTGAGACTCCAGCTCAGACGGTAGATCCAGTCTTCTTTCAGGAGCTGTTGACCAGTCGCTCTGCATATCTGAGCAGAGCAACTTTAAACTGGAAATGCCTGTAAATAGCACAGAACACAGACGGCTAATGGCTCCTCTCCCTCTGCTGCTCCGCTCTCTGTTGTAAAGCATTCTTCAGAATATCACATTATAGGTGTGAAGGATTAGAGTTGCACTAATTATGAGGTTATGAATGAAAATTACATTTCCCTAAGGTTGCAGAATCATTTCTGTGATAATAGCAGCCTTGTTATTCATATATCAAGATATGCCAGGGAGCCTTTTATAATGAACAGGCCGTGAAGGCTCCTCTGCCATCCTGGTCTTATTTCTGCTGTGAAAAATCTGCAGTTTCATGCCTGCTTTTCGATAAAGAATGAAGCATTGTGAATCCAAGAGGGAGAAGCTCCCGCTGCCTGTTAAACACTGATGGATGAGGTGAAAAATAGTCATAAAAGCGCTGCAATTATAACGACTATAATAGTAATTGTTTACAGAAATACTGAGAATCTAAAGAGGCATTATCTCATTAATAGAGAAAAATTGTTATTTCAGGTATCAGTTGTTGGAGTAATGAGGCGTATTCTATAAAATACACAGAAAGGCGCACAGAATCAAAGCAAGCATCTGTGAGTTTGTAGAGAGCAAAGAAGCTTGGGAAGCGTTTAGAAATCCCCCCTAAAGGAAGAGACTGGAGGGTTTCCAAATGTTCCACTCTGGAATATCTTCAAGGACAATCAGCTAAACAGCTGATATTAAGAGAGCTGTGTGAAATTGATTGCTCAAGGTGTTATCTGCGCTGCAAAAATGGCTGGTAATTAGTCATGGCTAAAGGAGTGTTACTGAGAGCGAGATGGATTTAATCTTAATAGATTTCACCGCACTGCAGATACAGGAGCCCCTGAGTTAGGTCGCTCCACTCTTCCTCCTCTCCCTCTCTGATCCGCCGCTGCTAAATGTGCCCAAACATAGATGTTCCCAGGTATTTTTTCATTTTTCTAATGCAGCCTGTACTTGGCGGCTGTGCTTGATTTCATTGTTCAGTGTCTCCAGCTGCAGCAGCGCTGAAGGAACCATTATTAGTTTATGCATAAAGGCTTCAGCAGATGTTGACTCAGAGATCTTGGTAAACCATTCAGAGACAATCAGGGGACAAACCCTTGACTGACTGACTGGCTGGCTGGGAGGTGTGCTGTTTGCTCCTCTCTGTAATGTAGCTGTGCTCCTGAAGGAGGCCAGATGTTTGTGTTATTACAGCGATTAGCTGAGTTGATGATGGACCAACTCAAACTGAACTATTTGGAATCATTTGTTGTAATTATGTGGGAACGCAGTTTTTTTTCCTGTTTTTTGCTGAATACCTGAAGTTGAAGGTGGCCTTTTTGAAATTTCTTATTCACTTGCTTCACTTCATCCAGGGATTTTCTGCTTGGTTATTTTCATTAAAACAGAATCCCTTCACTAATTAGTTGATCATAAACCTTCTTCCATGCCAACATCCTCAGTCATGCAGGTGTTCGCTAAGGCCCTGAACTCTGGTGTATTATGTAGTAAAAAGTACTCGTGTATTTTTTTTCTCCATTTAGAATTATCATACAATCATTCCATTAAAATCATTCCTTCAATAATGGCGCCCCTTTCTTTTAAGGTCATAAAATTATTGTATAAACACGCCTGATTACTGTCAGAGACCTATTAAAGCACCTATACCATACTTTTTAAGCCTTTTGAAGTCAACTACAGGAATATATTTATATGATGCAATCTAGCCTAACCTTTGACACTATTTATTTTCCTTCAACTCTGGCAGACCGATCCTTTCCTTCTTTAGGCTCTTCTTTAACAAGGCTATACAAAGTCTGAGACCTCTTTAAGCCGAAAAATAATTTTTGCAATTAAGGCGCTAGCTAAAAAAGGACAGTTGCTGTCACTGTTCAGATTTACTTGTAAGAGTCACTTTGTCACAGTTTTATGCAAGAATGATAATTTTCTGTCTTGCATCGCCGCTCGCTGATTGGAGAGAGTTGGTGTTTGTTTACTGTGGAAGGTAGTTGGTTTCTAAGGGCCGTAGGTAAAGACTGCTCTATGTAGACCGGATTTGGCTGCTCGTTTTACAGGACTGGTAGAGGCTGCTGCTCAGAAAGCAGATATTATGAGAATTACTGAGACGTGCATGAATCAAGATGCATGATCATGAATCTTAGTCGCATCAGAAACTCTTGATGGAAATGGCTTCAAATTCGCTAAAAAGTTTTTACACTTTAGCGAAAAATTACCTCACATCTCTGATCAGCTGTTTCTGCTGTCGGCATTTTCCCAAATATCCCTATTATGCTTGAAACATGGGTGGAAGCTTCATTGCCATTACTGGCATACATGTCAATGAAAGAACTTGCCAGATAAACTTTGCTCCATTACTGATCTGTGTTCCGAGCTAGATTGTAGCCACTACTTCCTGTTTATAACAGACATGCATGATGACCTAATATGGACAACGTATGACGAGATTATGTTTTGCATCTCTTTGTTAGTTGGTTCAAAACCAAATGGAAAAACAGCAAATTCATGTTTGCAAAAAAAATCACATTCCAGCTGGATGGAAACACAGCCAACATTGGAAAAAGATTCTTCCTCCTCTTTCTGGTCTAATAATAATAATAATAATAATAATAATAAATTTTATTTAACAGCGCCTTTCTAGACACTCAAGGTCACTTTACAGAAATAAAAATTAAAATACGAATACAGGAACATATACATAATAGTATAGTATTTGACAGGAAGTTTGTGTCACTGGGTCATAAGACATTAAGTTTTTTTCTTTATGGTATAATAATAAAATGAGGAACAAAAAATAATTTTAAAAACATTTTTTTTTCTTTCAAACCAGGAGTCAGAATTTGATCACCATGTTAGAAATTAGCTGCATTTATGTTTGACTCTTCCTGTATGGCGCTATATAATTTGGTCTTTTTCACATTCATTATTGTGTCTATTATTTTCTAAATAAAAAAAAAGTTCTAACACTCATAAGTGGGACATTATGTTGTTTGATTTTGTCAGGATGATGTTAGACCTTTGAGATGTTCTCCATCAGGTGAAACTTCTTCCTTTTGATGAATTATCATCATCTTTGCTCTCGTCTTTATCCAAAAGCTCATTAACATCAGACAGGCCATCTGTTTCCCATAGAAAGCAGGAGGCAAAGGATCAGAGTAGGTCATACCTTTAAAAAGTCACCTTCTGCTAACCAAACAGCTACGGTCTCCCCCCGGATAAAAGGTCACTTCTCATTAGACCTCTAATGTTCTTTCTTTTTTTTTTTTTTTTAAACTTTAAAAGGCCCAGTGTGGGGGGCCAGAATAGTGGATTATTTTAATCCCAGAGTGGCACTGCACCATGGATGGGTCGGTAACCTTACAGCTCTAACTGGGCTTCATAAAAAAAGAAATATTGCACATTTTAAAAATGTTTTAAGCTGTTTAAAAATGTCAGATTTAATTGCTAAATCTTACACAGTAACTCTTTTAATTATATACTTGGATTTATTAAAGCTCCCCTGGGACACATTGAAGAGAAAGGAGGAAAAGTAACAATCCTGTCAATCTTTAACTTTTTCAAATATTAGCTGGAATTTTTTGGTTATTCAGGGAAAACCACAAAAACTCTTGCAAGAGAAATATTGAGATAAAAGATTAATAAAATCCTTATTCTTTGATTTACTTAAGTTTAAGATATAGGAAATGGAGTCAATTTTGGTTATCAACTTTCAAAGGTCTTTAAGACAATTTTAAAGGCTTTAGAACTTCAGTGAGAACTAACCATGGAGCAGTGGTGAACAACCAAAATTCATCCAGGAACCCTGTTAAGGATGGAGAGCTGGATAATGGACACAGATGGATGAAAGGTTTAAGAGTGCATGGATTTCACAAATGAATTAGTCAACAATTCCAGATGATTTTAAACCGTAACAAACTCTAGATTATATTTTCAGATTTTCCGAATCAGATTTGTTTTGTATTTTTAAAGCACAACTTTGGATTTAAAGGAAAGACCGACCAAACTAGCCACACATTTTAATCAATAGTAATCCAAATGTCTCTTATGCGTGTTTTTCTTAATTTCTCTCGTCTTGTTTGTCCTGCATTTCCTTATAGAGGCTGAAGCAGAAGAACCAGCAGCTAAAGCAGATCATGGACCAACTGCGGAACCTCATCTGGGAGATCAACTCCATGCTGGCCGTTCGCAGCTGAGGACGAAGGACGGCGACGTGCAGGTCGTAAACCGGACAAAGGCCGACTGCACTTTACATGAGAAGCGGGAACTTTGGCAATATCAGCTTGGCTCCGAATGAAGGTTGGAAACCACAGAAGAAGGAGGAAGGGTTGGATGGCAGAAACAGTTCTGTCTACCTCTATAATCTATAATCAAATCAGCATTATTTAACTGAAAGATCAAATACCTTTTATGTATCTGTAGCTACAGGCTAGATGAAGAAATATTAGATGTATTTAATCAGACTATACCTCTGACTTTGAGGGGAATGACGAGCAACACTGTGGCAAAAAATGTATTAACGGCTAATCATAATGTCTGTATTCAATGTAATCTCTGTGCTTCTCATCAAACATCTCAACCTTGTTAAATGATCTGCTGAACTATAAATCTTTTTGAGATTTCAGAGAAAAGAAGTTGTGTTGTTTGTGAATGTCAGAAACCATAACTCAAACCTGGATTAAAAACAGAGGAGTGATTTGGGGGTATCGGAGTAAACTTTGAATTAAAAGCTCTGAGTTTCTGACTCAAAAAGGCCGGAAACCAAACATTCCTCTGTGGATGGATTGCTAAGAGTTTAGGACTAAGAAATGGTTTATTCTCATTAAGGAATCCCAGCAGGATAAGTTACTGGAAACCAGTTATCAGCTGCAGAGATCAGTTTGGCACCCTGAATGGAAAAATCTTTGTTTTCTGAAATATTACATGAATGCACCCTTTTTGGTTCTTATTTAACTTTAACTATGGCTGTTTATCTGGTTGCTTCAAACACTGGAGATCAAAATGTAAAACAAACTAATTGCTATTCTTCTGTCAAGCTCCACAATTTGAGGAAGATTGCAAAGCTGCATGAGGAATCAGGTTCTGTGCTGCACTTTCCGCGCTGCAGTGAACCTGCAGAGAGAGCCGGCTTTTTATAATTTGAATTTCCAACAAGCTCCATCAAAGGAATGCCTAATTTAAAAAGGCTGCGCTCATTAATAAACATCTCTACTCCTCATGTCTCCACCTGAAAGTCACCTGCTGGCAGCTTCTAACAGGTTAGTACATTTCAACAGCTATTTTCTTCATTCTTAAGATGGAAACAAAAGCTTTCTGTCAAGGTGAAATTTCACCTTGCATATTTCTTTATATACACTATATTGCCAAAAGTATTTGCTCACCCATCCAAATTATTGGAATCAGGTGTTCCAATCACTTCCATGGCCACAGGTGTATAAATTCAAGCACCTAGGCATGCAGACTGTTTTTACAAACATTTGTGAAAGAATGGGTCGCTCTCAGGAGCTCAGTGAATTCCAGCGTGGAACTGTGATAGGATGCCACCTGTGCAACAAATCCAGTCGTGAAATTTCCTCGCTCCTAAATATTCCACAGTCAACTGTCAGCTGTATTATAAGAAAATGGAAGTGTTTGGGAACGACAGCAACTCAGCCACGAAGTGGTAGGCCACGTAAACTGACGGAGCGGGGTCAGCGGATGCTGACGCGCATAGTGCGAAGAGGTCGCCAACTTTCTGCAGAGTCAATCACTACAGACCTCCAAACTTCATGTGGCCTTCAGATTAGCTCAAGAACAGTGCGCAGAGAGCTTCATGGAATGGGTTTCCATGGTCGAGCAGCTGCATCCAAGCCATACATCACCAAGTGCAATGCAAAGCGTCGGATGCGGTGGTGTAAAGCACGCCGCCACTGGACTCTAGAGCAGTGGAGACGCGTTCTCTGGAGTGACGAATCGCGCTTCTCCATCTGGCAATCTGATGGACGGGTCTGGGTTTGGCGGTTGCCAGGAGAACGGTACTTGTCTGACTGCATTGTGCCAAGTGTAAAGTTTGGTGGAGGGGGGATTATGGTGTGGGGTTGTTTTTCAGGAGCTGGGCTTGGCCCCTTAGTTCCAGTGAAAGGAACTCTGAATGCTTCAGCATACCAAGACATTTTGGACAATTCCATGCTCCCAACTTTGTGGGAACAGTTTGGAGCTGGCCCCTTCCTCTTCCAACATGACTGTGCACCAGTGCACAAAGCAAGGTCCATAAAGACATGGATGACAGAGTCTGGTGTGGATGAACTTGACTGGCCTGCACAGAGTCCTGACCTCAACCCGATAGAACACCTTTGGGATGAATTAGAGCGGAGACTGAGAGCCAGGCCTTCTCGTCCAACATCAGTGTGCGACCTCACAAATGCGCTTCTGGAAGAATGGTCAAAAATTCCCATAAACACACTCCTAAACCTTGTGGACAGCCTTCCCAGAAGAGTTGAAGCTGTTCTAGCTGCAAAGGGTGGACCGACGTCATATTGAACCCTATGGATTAGGAACGGGATGTCACTTAAGCTCATATGTGAGTCAAGGCAGGTGAGCAAATACTTTTGGCAATATAGTGTATATATATATATATTTTTTTTTGTCTAAAAAAGTTTGATTTAAGTTCAGTTCCAATAATGGGGAGCTTTGTTGGAGTTTTGTTTGCAGCTCGCTTATAGATCAGAGGACCAAGACGTCAGATTAAAGGAGAGATCCAGCTCAGAGAACCTCATCCAGAACATGAAACGTGAGTCAAAATCTCTGCATGTGCCGTCGCACGGCTGCATCGCCATGACACAGATCTGCAGGGAGCATCGCTGTGTTTGATACGGCCTGTTTAATAATGCAAACAAAGCAGGGGTCATATCGGAGCCCAGTTACAGCTATTGTCTGCAGGGAGACGAAGGACAGCTGCTGTGTTGGAGCCATGCAGGAGAAAAAAAAAATCAATGTTCTGAGTGGTGACTAATAAAGCCGTCCTCAGCGGTCTAACACGGAGGTGGTTATTATATCTCAGAGGGCAACGCTGCGCTGAAGGACTATTATTACTGTACAAATAAAGTGTTCTGGTGCAGCTGAGCCGCAGGTCGAGGCCTGAGTGCTTGTTCATGCAAACGGTCGTCGCAAATGAAATGTGGAATAGAAAAAAAGAAGCATTGATTGAAAAGAGGCTCGATCAGTCCTCCTGTCAGCAGCCTCATATTAAGATTAATCCTTTGAATATGTCCTGTTTACACAGATTCTTTCAGTAGTGATTGCACACTATTAAAGATCTGTTCGATAAGGCTGGGCGGCAGAAACCAGCAGCGGCTCTTTAGTATATTAATGCACAAAACAGGCAGATATCTGTTAAACTGGATTCATTTCAAATGATTTTACACCTTTGCTGGGGCTCCTTTTTCATTAATTATTGCATTAATGTGGCTTGGAGGAGATCAGCCTTTGGTTCTAGTGAAGTGAAGCTCAAGTTGCTTTAACAGCTGCTTCGAGTGATTTCTTGACTAATTGTTACACTAATATAATTACAGTTCAAAGCATTTATGAATCTCTTAGGCTGTTTTGACTTTGTCACTCCTGCCCATTAGGTGGCAGTAATGGGCTTAAAGTTTATTGCGCACACAGAACAGAAGACTAGCAGCTGGCAAACAGATCCATGCATGTGACTTTAACAGTAAAGTCCTGGAGTAATGGACTAGTATGTGCAAGTATCTGAATTCTGGTGGCTGCAGAAAATGAAAACTAAATAAAATTGCAGAATTAGTTCAAATGATTAAATTTAGAACTTTGGCTAAATCATTCAGCACTACTGTACTTCAAGCTACACTAAAATGTCTAGCTGTTGTGGGATTTTTAAACTCTTTTTGAAGCAATCTTTCTTCTGTTAAGTGACCACTAACTAGCAGTCCAGTTGTTTCTCTTTAGCTTTAAATGTCTTCCATTTAGTGTTTCCTCTTGAAGTAACCTTTAACCATCCGACTCCATACTTTACTTTAACTTTATTAATGGCTTTGGTTTGATGGGCCCAATGAATTAAGTTCTAGGACACAAGGATTAGTAAAAGGATAAATGTAAGTAGAAATATGTGAGAGGGGGCAAGCTAGGATACACTGAAGGACAGGAGAGAAGGAAGTATACTAGGAAAGTGAGGGATAGGTACTAAATAAATTTGATCTGTTATCCAGACAGTATTGGAATAAATATACACACACACTGATATAATCAAATATGAGTTTATTTTTTTTATAAATCATTCTTACAAAATTGTCATTTATCTATTTAATTTGTGGCCTCTATAAAAGTCTCTTAGTTACAGGGTAGGAGGGAGGAAAGGCATCAGGACAGCCAGGCTTCCCCGAGTCCCTCACAGATCAACGTAACCACGGTAACAGTGTCCAAAAACACGGGGGATGTTGAGAGAAAGCTGCGACTCCTTTAGTGTATAAATGTTGGGATTCTGGAAATGATGCCGGTTATTTCCCAGCAGAACTCAGCTGTTGATAAAAGGCACAAATTAGGACCAGAGTCCACCTCTGAAAACATTTTAGATAAACTTTTCTCTGTAAACGACGCAAAAGTTTTCCCTCGGTTTTCTCCATCACACTCTGAATCAGATCGGGAACAGAAAAGTTTCTGGAACTTTTAACAGACCATTACTGTAACGTGCGAGGAGGGGATGAAAAGTCTCCATCTGGTTCAGAGGATGATCCAGCTGTCTGAGTCTTCTCTGGGACTTTGTAATTCAACTCCCACTGAGATGCGAGACGGTGGGGCCTGATCCAATCATCAGCATGCCATCTTTATAGGAGATTAAAGCTGCAGCAGCCATGCTGGAACCGTCCCGTTTCTCCTTCTGCTGCAGGGGGAGGTTTCAGAGTGAGATGGATGTTTCCCAGTGAAAACCGATGCAGGGGGGGACAGAATCAACCGTGCATCAACATCTGTGTGGGCTGAGTAAACATCACCAGCTCCTCAGAGATGCAGGATTAATGTTCTTAGATTACATGCAGCACATGACAAAAGTATTGACACCCCCTCTTTTTTCACATTGCAACCACAAACTTTAATATGTGATAGGAGACCAACACAAATAGTCTAATGTGGAATGGAAGGAAAGTGATGAGTTATTTGTCAAATAATCTGAAAATTGTGGCCTGCATGTTTATTAAAGCCCTCTTTCAATGCTAAAGAAAGGTGCCTTCAGAAGTCCGGTGAGATGGAGAATATTAGAAAAAGCCAAGTGCTAAACATGGTGGTGGCAGCATTATGCTGTGTTTGTTCAGCGCTGAAAGGTGGACAAACTGGTATAAATATTCCAGACTTTCATCAGTTAAAACAGCAAGAAGGGGGTCTTCAAAGCTTTGACTTAAGGAGGCTGGATAAAAAAAAAAAAAAACATGCCACACATTTCAGATCATTTGTAAACAATGACATTTCTCTTCCACTTTAAAGTGCATCAAAGTTTGTGGTTTAAAGTGTTAGTGTGGTTTTCCAGGGTGCTGCATGTTGGGGATTCGGATGAGCGGCAGACTAAATCTGGCCTAAATGAGGAGTTTCACATTAAACAGATGATAAAAAAAATAATACAAAATGAAGTGAAGGAGAGAGCAGTGATATGTTAGGATGTGTAAAAAGGCTTTGTTACATTTTGCATCAACTAAATAAAAACTAAGAGTCCGGCTGATAATTGAGTGATGAAAGCAGAGGAAACGGCGACTAAAAAAGGCCACTAAAAGCATGCAGCCATCTTGATTCATTGCAGATTTAAAGCCACTCTGTTACAGGCAGGTGAATGTCGCAAGTCGACGTTTTCTACAAACATGACGCTCCAAAATCTATGAAGCCTGACAAATGGAGGAGAAATCCTCTCTGTCGATTTAATGGCTCTGAGGTCCTCTGATATGTCAAGGGGAAAAAATGGCAGCGACGCGTAAATGAAAAAAAAAAAAGGTGTTTAGGCAGCGTTGATGTGCAGTAAGCGACGACGAAGGCAGCCCTCCGAGGTCAGAATGGCACTGATGTGCTTTGAACAAGCACCGCTAAAAAAAGAACAGGTGGCGGTCACTAAAACGAGCTGCAGGGGAGGGAATCTGTTCAGAGACCATGCAGAAAGAAAAGGTTTGTGTTTGAACGCACAGTTCTGCTCCGTTTAATCCAGAAATGTTCATCTTACTTATTCCAGGGATTTTTTTTTTCTCTGCTTCAAGCTTTTGGTTGGATGAGCCGACTTTCCAGGACTCTGGACACAGAGGAGTGAGAATAAGAGAAAAGTGGGTCATGAAACGAGGAGTTCTCCTCGCCCACCACAGAGATAAAAGGCTGATAGGAAACACGGTGGAGGAATGAGCCGGGGACCGGATAGATGTCGATGAAAACACTTTGTGCCAGCAGGCCTCACACATATAAAAGCTGGATCTCTGCAGCGGCTCCAGTTTCAGTCCTGATGCGGATGAGGGAGGGACGAGCGCTGGGATTTGTGTCGGTCAGCCATCACAAACGCCTTCCCCTCTACCGTCCTGCATGTGTGCAGAGAATGCTGGGAAGGCTCCCTTTGATGCCGGAATCCTTGTACAAAAAAATATTCTCTCCAACAGTTTCTGTCGTCAGTAGTGCTCGCCGTGTTTGAAACATACAGTCTCTGTTTCCTTTGTTTTTACGTCCATCTGTTTGTTCCACCTGGATCAGGTCCAGGATGCAGCAGCAGCGCTGTGGTCATTGGCAATGTGCTGAGTGGATGACAGGGCGACGTCTCACCCCGTCCATCCTGCCGTAGTTCGGATGCTCCTCCGACTCTCTACGGAGTCTCTGTCGCGCGCCTCCCCCTGTGTGGAGTCTCCCCCGAGGGGGCGGCGGTCCTGTCAGAGCCTCTCAATGTCCCTGTATTTTTTGCGGAGGATGGAGACCTGGTCCTTGAAGAGCACGGGGTCCAGCCTCATCTGGGAGTGGACCAGCGGCATGCCGCCAAACCAGCTGGCGAACTTGTTCATGCAGGTCTGCCGCTGGGCGAAATGGTCTGGGTCGGCCCAGCGGGACGCCCTCGATGACTGATGGGGAGAGAAAGGAGAGCAAACGTTTAAGAAAAGGGTTTCTATTAAATTTAGTTATTAACTAAACCCAAGATCAAGACATCCATCCCCTGCATCCATCTTCTATGGAGGTTAAAGGTCAGCCAGCAGCCTTAGGCTTCCTAAAGAACAGCATCTAGAGTTTTCTGTCACAATATATTAAACTGTCCTGACCAACACCAGGAAGGTGGATCCTATCAGACCTGCTCCTACATCCCTGCATGGAGCCGCAGTTTGGCAAAAAATACATTTAATATCCTGCTTTTGGTCTATAAAGTGTCCTGGCAGGTGGACCATTTGCATGAAAACCTGAGATGCAGAAATGGCTGAAAACTAATCAATCTAGAGCAAATTTAATTCAATCAATCTAATAAACTTTAAAAATGTATTGAATGCCTAGGATCTATATTTTATCTTTCTTTTTTATTTGGAAGAGTGAGAAATCTTTGAGCCTAAAAGGTAAACATGCCAAAGAGGCCAAGAATAAAGGAGCGAGGGCTGGGCGATGTGGTCCAAAATAAATTTCAGATTGTTTAATTTTTAATTTGAGTTATGATGCCCCCAAAATGCCCCATCATAAAAAAAATCGACTGCAACAAAATTGTTTAATTGAATCGATTTTTTTTGGCAGAGGCCTAAAAGGAGCAATGCATGAAGCTACATCTATTAAAGTTCAGGACTTAATTGTTTAAATCTGCTCTTAAATCCTGTTTTATTCATACTGATGATGTTTTTTAGAACTGGAAGCAGCTGAGATCTAATGTTTTATTTCTTTGCCAAAAGAGCCCATATTTTATCTTCAGCCAAACCATGACAAAGAAGGAACTAACAATAAAACTTTTCCATAAATCGTCTGCTGCTTCATGTATTTCAGTTTTGGGAATCTGGAACAAACATCTCTTGTTTCCGTCCTGTTCCCCCTGGGGGCCAACTAAAGTATTTTAGCGGGATAAATCACTGATGAAAGGAGTCGGCTCCGGTTCAAAGGAAACGGGCTACAGGAGGCTTTAACAATGATCCAAAGCTGAGAAACTGTTACAGTCTTTGTGAAATACTGCTGTAACGATGCTCTGTGGTCCTAACAGCGGCTGGGTTCCCCTCACCTGGCCCATCATGGTCTCCTTGTACTGCTTCTTCTGTGTGATCTTAATAGGCGGCAGCTTGGTGACGGCAGAAACCAGGAAGTTCATGAGGATGTCCTCACAGTTGGCCAGCTGGTCCACCATGTTCTTCAGGCTGGTGGGCAGGTAGTGGGTGTACAGGTAGTGATAGTACCTGCAGAGACAGGAGCTGGATTAGGAAATTAGGACTTTAGGATCCTTTAATTTCAGACTGGAGGGGAAGCCTTCAGTGACAGATCAGAGGTGATGATTGGCTAACTTCAGCCTAATGCAGTGTTCCCATCACAGCAGAGTGAAGTCATATTAAAGCTGACAGGACTTCAGCTGAGCTGCATGTAGGAACTACAGAGGCCTGTGTTCAAGACAAATTGACTTTTTTCTATCCCATAAAACCTGGGAAGTGTCAAAACACTGGTTTCCTGCGGCTGCGCTCCACTGAACATCACATCCACTTTCTGAACCACAGATCAGTGCTTCAAAGCGCTCCATCAAAAGGGAGACGAGCGAGCACGGAGGAGAAGGAGCCTGAGAGAGGACAGAGAAGCCGCCGGAGGCTGATGGTACCTGTGGAACATGGCGGCACCGGTCAGAACCATGGAGTAATCATTGGTCCATTTGGAGGTGTAGCCCCAGCGCTCCTTGTTGCTGTCCCAGAAGTGGCTGCGGGCCGGGTAACCCACGATCCGCTCCGGAAAACTCATCCAGACGGTGAAAGCAAAGTCCACCTGGACAGAAACAAATATGGACAGAACATTATGGTTAAACATCCTAGAATATAGAAAATCTGACCCACATTTCTGACACTTTGGACCTAAACGAGGAGCCTCCGCCAGGTGGTGGGTTCAACATGTTTCTGAAGGTGAACACCTGGCTGATGGAAAGATGCTGCAATTATCTATAATAAACATTTCTGTTTAGCAGAGAGGATCAGAGTCTGCTGAGCATGTCCAACATTTTCACCTTGGAGGCTCATCAAACACATTAACAGAGCCTTCTATTCGCTGGAATATAAGACTATAAGAATATAACCCTGATTACAGCTGCAGAGTTGCTTACAAGGTTCTGCAGGGGAAGTCCTGTCTGGATGCAGAGAGAAAGAAAGCAGCTCCTTGTTTTTATTGAACAATGGATAAAACTACAGCACACATCTCTTTAAATCAGCTTCTATCAGCGAAAATCCATCCTTTAAACGTTTGCTCAAAGCACAAAACTAAGTTACTAAATGAACTATTTCTGGTGAAAATATCTTTTTACCATTGAACCACCAAACTCATCAAGCCTTTAATATTTTATCTTTGATTTCTAACAGTAATGCTGTTCAATAGAAGGAACAGGTGTGTTTAGGTGTTATGTAACAGAACTGCGTAGAGCTTGGATTAGGCTGACATTTCTGTATAAAAAAATCATAAAAAAAACACTTGAATCATCTTTGAAGATGGTTTTGGGGTTTTTATCATCTGCAGAGCATTATCATAAAAATAATGAGCTAACTGGCTCCTTTAGAAAACAGAAGTAAGAAATGTGACGTTTTTGAGCTGGACGATGAATCTGCACATCATGGATTAACTTTATGGAGGAACTGAGCTACTGTAATCTGAAAACAATGTATTGATAACAGCTACAGCTGATTTTACACAAACAGGTTGTAAACCTCACTAAAGTCATTAAATGATTCATCCTAAAGCTTTGAAATTTAACATATCCTGTTAAGCCGAGGCAGCGAAGTCTGATCTGTTTACAGAATATTGGACATCAGCGACTTAAAGAGAAAATGAAAACAGTTTCTATTTTCTTCAGTTAAACAAAGCGAAGCAGCTGCCTGCAGCCGACTGCTGTTGGACGATCAAAGCATCCAATTGCTGAAACATCAAAAAGACACTTTTCCTTTGAGTTACAACAGTTTAACCACACAGTGGACACAAACACAATGCTTTGAAAATAGTTCCTAAAGCTGCTTTTTCTGCAAAAAGGTAAAAAATTGCAGCTGATTTATGAGGAGAAAGATTTGATTATATTTATCATTATAATGGATTAAAGTTTTTTTTTTGTTTCATTTAGTCTCACACAACTTGCCTCATTAATGCAGACCTATAAGATACAAAAAATAATTAAATAGAACCTGTTTGACAACAGAAGGTAAGAAATAGGAAGCAACAAATAATCCCAGCAGAAGTCAGACTACCAAAATTACTCTAAGAGCACAAAAAAGTTAGGCCAGCATTCAATGTATGATTGTCTTTGGGGATTGTTGAGTCGTGCTGAATTTCAGCTTCATCATGCATCCTCTGTGGCGTAACAAGGGGCTATTAGCCCCTCATGACCAGCTCTGATGAAAATCCAGTTGCCCTCATGGGGAGTTTGCTGCTGCCGAGGCTACGAGCCGACTTCCATCCTTATGCAAACAAGAGAATTCTTCCTCTTCCACTTCCGCCTGAGTCCATGTGGTTTTTGGTTGCACTGTGTTAGAACTGATATCGTGAACTGTAGCTTTCAAGTCACTGTTTACGGTTTAACAAATATAAATGTAGATGAAATAAAACATCTGGTTTAGAGCAGTTAGATTATGCAGCCAGATAATGATCCAAATAATCGAGCAGGTCAAAGTTTGAGAGGCCTAATTAAAGACTTTAAAGCAACTGTGATGCTGTTACCTAATCCTGCAAAGGAAAGGGACTTAAAACTCTCCAAAATAATGGTTTCTAATTATCACTGCGGGTTGATGTCAGTTAGATATAATCCCAGGTTGGCTCGGACCACTTTCCTCTCCTGATAGTTAAAAAGTGAAACAAAAGCAGGAATCAGCTCCGTGCCCAAAACACGTCACTATCTCCCATTAGAATCCTGGAGTGAAAAAGGAGGATATAAACTTTATTTAGATGAAAGTGTCCTTGTAAGGAAAGATGAGCTGTTGTACAAGTCGTGATTTTTAGAACCCATACAGAACGGTTTGTGCTCGGCTATCTTCATGGGAGGAACACAGGTGGGATTAGTTTTGGTTGATGGATTTCTCCGTCCCTCGACTGCCATCTTGATCTGCACCGACGGCCTTTTTATTAGATCTAATTCTGCGCTTTTCAAAGCCACATCTGGCTTCCCATGGTTCCACGCCAGAACTCATCCACAGCACAAAAACAAACTAAAAACAAACCCAGGAATGATCCCAACAGCATTTTGAAGAAAAAAAACAAACTAAACTCATCTCTATTAGGCTGCAGATGGACGTCCAACAGATGAAAGAATCCTTAGGAGAGTTTGCAGCTACATTTAATCCCAAACAGGAAGACGGGTTTCTGGTTGTGATGCAGTGACTGACCTCTGTGGTGGACAGCACGGTGTCTTCGTCCAGGCTGAGGACAGCATCGGTTACAATGGTCTCATAGGGCAGGAAGCGGCTGCTCATGACCTTCAGGGAGGAGAAACAGAACCCAGAGTCAATAACGAGGCAGAACAGCTGGAGAAGCCAGACATTAATGATCATCTGGCAAATATCAGAGACTGGAAGAGCAAATGGAAAACAGAGACACCAACTATTGAGTTCCTCTCTAAATTACAGCATCAATAACCGGTAATTCAGGTCAACAAGTCTGTTCTAATTGATCAGTTTCTTGACAGTTTATCTCTAAATAAAACCAAAACCTGAGGAAATCAGAAAAAATATTCATCTTCATGTAAAAATATATGAATATTATCTGATTTCTGCATCTAAATCATGTCCACTTTTATGTGGTTTATTGTTTTTTTTTTTTAGTAATGGAGGTGGTAACCCAGAAGGATGACGGTTCCCACTGAGAGGGCTGCCATTGACACGTTTCCATAGAAACCTTTTAGGACCTCAGCTTTCCAATTATAAGTTATTGTGTTTACATTCAGGATAAAAAGCTGCTTTTCCACAGAGAGAGAACTTTCTGTTCATTCAAACGGACTCAGCTGGCTGTTCTTCCACTCATCTTCTGCTGCTTTTTTTGGGTCAAGTATCTGCAGCAGACTAAATAAGACTGAGTGTCTTTCATTTAGCCTCTTCTTTCTAAGAGTTTGCCTTGTTATAACAGAGAGGCAGCATGTTTTCCTCCTGGGAGTATTAAAAATAAATCAAAAACGATGTTCCTATAGGACGCCAGGCCAACAAATATAAAAGAACAGGTAGGGACACATGCTGAGACTATCTGCTGAAATCGCTCTGTTTGATGAACTGTGAGAGCTTGGAGACACATTTCTTTATAAAATGTCTGCAAGCTTTAGCTGCACACAGATACAAGCAGGTGATTTATACACTATAGAAAGATGAACAAACCTTCCTCTCAGACTAAATCAGACATTTTGCTGCTTTAGGTCAGGATGTCCTTATTCTTTATGCTGGAATGACCATTAATTGTCTTTTTTTTATTTAAGTTAAATAATTTCATCAATCATCTCCTACAAGCTTTTCATCATTTTATGCTGTACTTTTGGTCTTCCTGACAGAACAGCTGAAACCAATTCTTTTTCTATGCATCTGGTTCATTTAAATAACTGGGCTCTACGTTAAAGCTTTAAGAAAAAGAAACATTACTTGTTTTGTTTACTATAGTTGCAAATTATGAATCTTTTTGAATTGCTGAAAATATTTAAATATGGTAGAAGTTGAAAATATAGAATATGGAGATTTGGGCAGATGTTTTCAGCGAATAAATTAGCATAAATAAATGGAGTAACTATATTGATATTTATAAATTTCGAGGAAAGACTTTGCCTGTATTTGAGAATGAAAACATGTCTTATTTTAAACCACAATAACAATAAAGCTTCTTCCTCTAAAAGTGATGCAATTTGTCCTTTGATATGTTCCTAAACTGTAGATTTCTTTTTATCCTGGCCTTGCAGTACTGACTTCCTCCTCTCTGAGTGGCTTTTCAGCCTATGATGATGCTGCCTTCGTCAGTCTTTAGCTCAGGGGTTGATTTAAACATTTTACACCAAACATCTCTCGGGAACGGAGTCGCTCCTCCTGAAGACATTTGAAATGAACATGGCTGCCTTCAGGGAAACAAACTCAGACTTGTAGAGATCCAGAACTTCAAGAAAAGCACTGTGAGGTGTTGCCTTGGTTGTCCCCCTGATTAAATCATAATTGTGGGATTGAAGCTGCTCAGCTCTGTGGATATTCAAGCCGCATGAAACAGAGCATGAAAAAAAAAAACTAGCACACACTAGATTTCTGATTTATCAAAAACTGATAACAAAAAAACAAAAAACAAAACATGGAATATAACATAAAAAGCAAGTTATCTGACACTGGAAATTTATCTTGCCCACAAAAGTGTTACTTGTCAAAAATATAATTGATAGTGAACCATTGAGCACATTTTTGTTTTGTTTTTTCATTTTAGATTATTGCAACAACAAAACAATTGAGTTAATCTGCTGCCTATTTTCTGGTTTGGGGTGAAAAATTATCCAGTTTTCTTCCAAATAAAAGCAAACTGCCTGAATAGAGGCGGACCTGCTCCGTCCTGTTCCCCAACCTAAAGAGGCAGCTCCAGTGGTCCAGGCCCAGTTTTTGATGGTTTTCCAGAAACATCCCTCTGGGAGAAAACTCCAGGAAAGAGCAGGGACTGACTGGAGGGACTGGAATTAAACCTCTCTGGATATTCCAGCTGGATAAGTCTGATGACAGAACGTCTGTGCTTCATTCTGGACCTATTGGCAGGTCCAAGAATCAAAAAAACACCCAGCTATGTCAGCATGAATTGGACTAATTTTATCAGAGGAAGATTAAAAACACAAAGACTTTATTGATCCTCTAATTTTAGAGGGAAACCCTCATTAGTGAGTGAAAACAAAAACCTCCCAGCTGGATTCCAGGAGTCCGACTACAAACTGATCCCAGTGACTCGGGTCATGCAAGCAGAGTGAGCTGCAGGCTAAAGAAACAGAACCATCAGCTTAAAAAGAGCCAGCAGATGTTAGATGGTTCCTGCTGCTGACATCCACAGCAAGGAAATGAGGAAACACAAGAACAAAGACTGAAGCAGATGAGAAGATAACATAATGCAAGGCTGCAGGAATACAACACTTTATTTCTTCATGCGATGCTTTAAAATAAAAGGAGGCTGTGTTAAACCTGCATCCATGGATCCACCTCCTTCAACAGCTCCCTTCAAGCTGGACAGAAATATTCCCTCTGAGATGCGTCCTTAACTAGATTCCCTCTCTTTTTAGCCTCCACTATCTAAGGCATGCATTTTTAATGACGCCTCACACATTCAGAGGAGACAACAGCCAATACCAGCTCAGAAAGAGTGAAGAGAAAAGCAAATATCCCGCTCCTTCCTGCAGGGCGCGGCCTGTCGTTTTCAGCAGTGATAAAGCGCTGAACCAAGTCTCCATTACTGCTGCAGGCGCTCCTTTTCTCTTTTAAATCAATAAAAACACATAAACGGACCCAGGCACATGCTGCAAGTCTTGTATTATACATGTGGCACAAATTTACTCTCCTTCTCCTAGCCTGTTGGAACCAGACTGTTTTTACAGCAGATGAAGTCGGCCTGTATAATACATGACGCTGAATATTTACAGGGAGCAGAGTCTGCTGGGTGGAGGGAATATTCAGGATATTTAGATGGAAACTATTTGTTTTGCTGCAGTGATGAAAGGAGGAAATAACAGCAGATTCTTGATGAGGACGTGAACCACAGCTTCCCACACAGACATATGGCTTCAACTGGTCTTCATTTATTCCCTCGGCTAAAATAGGTACCCTATATCCAAAAGATTTCAGACCAATAAATCCATTGATTGTTGACTGTAAAGTTTAGGTTTACAAAAGAAGGTCATTGTTTAACTAATCAACCTTACAGGCTGTAAAGGATGGACTCATGGATGCATTGGGGAAACTCTCAGCCAACCGCTGTTCATCTCTGCACCTCCTTTAGAAATATTTTCATTGACATAACGGAAAATAAAAGGTTGAATTAAAAGAATTATCTTTTGTTAGAGCTCTAGATTATTAATCTGGCAGCCAATAAATTATGTGATGTAAAGATATTGAGGAAAGATATTAATGCCGTAGCTCCTTGTGAGAAGAAACCAGGCCTTTAACTCAAACACTCCTCTACATGAAACATGCATGCAGATGTAATTCTCTGAGCCTTCTGAATATTTAGCTTTAATCTTGAAAACAAGAAGCAGACTTTATTTTGAAAGCTCTGCTTCGGTACATACACAGATGTGGGTTACTCCAAAACCTTTCAGCTCGCAAAAAAAGAACCAATAACGTGTTGAATACATATGGACAGAAAATCAGTTCAAAAGTAAAACAAATAGACAAAACTATAAAAAAATTGCCTCAGACTAGTTTACTCATCTGACACTTCATTATGGAAAAAATATTCTCATGAACTTTTTAGCTGTTAGTAAAAGGGATCACGTTACTTTTAGCAAATTCAACAAATTTAGTAATTGATAATCGTTAATTGGAATATAAAGACGAGAAATACTTCCTGCTTTGTTGCTTTAAACATAAATATAAACATATATAAAAACTTAGAGCTGATTAAAACATTTTTAAATCAGGTACAAAGTCCTTCCACCAGATTATTGGACCTGCTTTCTAAATGAAATACAAACTTTAATGTCATGCAGGTAAAATTGATTATTTTTTACCATCCTCAATACTGTGGCTATCCCTATTGCTAGGCAACCTTTCCCTACCCTACTTCTTCCCTCCACTTAACTTTCTAGCTCATATTTAGTGAGTCTTATGGACATGTCTCTACTGACCCAGACAGGGAACATCTAGAGGCTCAGGAAACATTAGCAGGTGTCTGGGGCTAAATGGTTGCTTATGATGCGATTAGTTTCCAATATTTAACATTCTCACTATACTGAACACTGAGTCTTACAGAAGTAAAGAGGTTCAATAATTCACTCTCTAGAGTTTCAGTTTCTAAATAACAATAATATGAACTTTTTCACAGCGCTTTGATTCCTTTACAACAGCTTTTTGTTTCTAATACTTAACTATTCATGAAGTTATTTCTCTGGGTATGGAAAGAAAAAGAATCAATGTAAAGTCATCGATTGAACTTCAGCGCCTGGCAGGGATTGGTTAACGGGCAGGCTGGTGTCGTCTTTCCTAAAACCCTCCAGAGGTGGCAGTGTCGAGTCGCAGCAAAGGTGAGCGAGTGAAAGACGGAGGAGGAAAACCAGAGTTTAATAAAACATAGAAGAGGAACCCTTAGCCTCGCTTCATTTTAGTCTTTACTCCTCTGACGTCCCAAAGGAGAAGAAACCACACAATCCCAGCTCTGCTCCTGGTTCTCCCTCCACAGAGAAGAAGAGAACAAGAGACAAGGGGAAAAATTAGAAGGAGAGACAAAGACAGGAGGAGAGGCTGGCGTTTGCAGCCTCCAGTCAGGTTGTAATGTTAGAGGTATGAGCCCGGGGCTTCCTGATGCTCCTCAGGAATGTGACTCCTAGCAGCAGGAATCCGCCTGCAGCACTTAGGCTCCTCTTTCCAGAGAAGGACGGCGAGGAGGAAGGAGACAGGAGGAGAAACTGACCAAAGCGGTACTTCCAAACAGAACTTTGAAGAAAGTAGTGAAAATATTCCAGCTTCACGGTTCCATTTACAGCCTTCCTCCTGTCTTGTAGAAACTAAATTCACTGTTTTATTACTCGGATCATAAAACAACAAGGTACGAACATCCAGAGAAGAAGGAGGACGAGATGCTTTGGAGAGAAAATATGCTAAAAGATGGTCTTTGAGGAAAAGGATGGAGAAAGAAACACGTAGGAAAAAGGCAGAGCGATGGAGAGAAGCAGAGCTCTGCCTTCATCTCCCTCTGTGGGGTGGAGGAACACAGCTTGGCTCGCTGCAGTAAACACAGAAAAACACCACAATCACAACAAACCGCAGGCCGTCTGGCACGCTCACACACCCAACGCTCAGCCCGCTCTGCTCACTCTTTCACGGACACACAGAGAGCCTCTGAGGCCTCCCGTTATGACTGACAGCTTGGAGGAAACCACTCAGAGTAACAAGGGGAGGAAAACCACTTCCACTCAGTAGCAGGTGAAGCTAAAGCCTAACAGGTCTGGATGGAAGCAGGTGGATCCGCGCGTCTGAATCGATACTAAAGTCAAAATAAATAAAATGGAAGGAAATCAATAAATATCCAAACAAAGAATGAAACCTTCTCAGACCCTCCAGGTTACGTCTCTACAGGCAGAGTTCAGAGCAGCTGATGATTTACTGCCTGCTGACTCTTCAAGGTTTTCTTCAATCAGAAAAAGACTGACCTGGTGGAGCAGAGCAGGAAGCATTGAAATCAATTCAGCTTTTATTCCAGCAACATAAAGACGAGAAAAAAACCCTCTCTCACTACGACCGTTCACGTCTCAGAAGAACCAAACTCCTGCAAAGTCTTCCTAGGTTTCCACCGAAACAGCAGAACAACATGTTTCTCTGAGGCCACACAGGATAGAAAGCAGGGCTGTAGTAGCATTTACAGACCCACCAATGGGAAGCTTAAGGTGCATTCAGGGACACTGCGTACACTGGACAACCATAACTCCACAGTGATTAAAATATACCATCAGCACCATCATTCAAAAGTTCTCTTCAATAGCAAACATGGCTGTTTTTAGCTAACCTTTCGCTGAAAGCTGGAATGTAGCGAGATCTCAGTTTTCAGTCTCACAACAAATCCATTTTGAAAAGTCAAGCTAATACGTCCTTCTCGTAACCACCGACCAATGAGATGCCAGCAGTGCTTTTTGGGGTGGGGCATGTAGGACTCAGCTGTTGATACCGAAATTGACTCAGTTTTAGCTAAATAGCGACAATTTCTAGTTTAAAAAAGGAGCAAAGAGAAGCACTTGGTGCATTTGTAGACGGGAAAGATGTTTGTCCTTTTCTTCCAACAGGATTTGAAAAAAGATTTATCAGCTTACGAAATGTCATGATTTGCTGCTACGATTGTCTGTATTACACTGGAAAAAATATTTCTTTTTTTTTAACCTCATTTTTTTTTTTTTAAAGAAGTGCATTTGTTGTTGGATTGAGGAGGTAAAAGAGAGATTTCGCCAGTGGAACAAGACAATTTACACTTAAAATAAGAAAAACTATTGCATTGTCTTATTTCAAGAGCATATTATCTAATGATCTTATTTTAAATGGGTTATAACTGATTAACCTCAATACATTTAAAATAACTTAAATCTAATCTTTATAAGGTTCTTTATCAGTTGCTCTTTGAAGTTATAAAACTAAACAAAATTTAACTATTATATATTAGAAATTATCTTTATTTACTATTAAAAAAAAGACAGAAGGCTTGCAGCACTTTTATAGCCTTCTGGGAGTTTGTTCCACATTATTCACGACCTTTAATTTATTATGGTTTGATCAATTAACCAAATAGTTTTTAAGTCAAAGTTAAAAACCTGTTTGTTTAGAGCTGCTTCTGACTGTTGAATCTAAACTGTTAACTGAGGTATTAGTAGTTTTATTTGCTTTAATATCTGCTTTTATCGTGTTTTTATCTTTAATTGCTTTTATTTTGCTTCTATTTTACTCTTTAATGTAAATCCTTTTGAATTGCCTTTATACTCAATTGTTTTATATAATTGAACTTGCCTTAAATGGTAATTTATTTCTTTAACAAACCAGCATCGCTACCATGGCTGATCTCTCAGCTCCGGTCCACAGGTATCCATCAGACTGAGATCATAGTTTAATTTCTGGACCACTTAACGAGCCTTTGGTGGGTTATCAGGAAAAAGGCCACAAATTGTTCATCTAAAAGGCCGTATTTATAGCTGAGGGACACAGGAAGTGATGGATTAAAATATTAAAAGCCTGTGGATAATGGTTGATTAGAAAACCAGAGGTGATGTTGGTTTTAGGAATTATCAGTGGAAAAATTGAATATTTCAACACACCAAAGGATTATTGGGTGAAATAATAAGGAAAATAATAAATAGGAACAACAAAAGTATTTCTGGGACATCGGCTTGTTCTTGTTTGACATCATGGAGAAGAGGAACAAAGGTTTTTTTTAAATTAAATCAAAGTAGTATTTCTTCATTTCATCTCGCTTTATTCTCCAGCTTCATTCACAGCTCTGATGAAACATTCAGGGAATCAACTAAAGAATAAAAATAACTTCTATGCTTTTTGTTGTGAAATTATTGTTATGGTAGAAGAAAAGCTTGAGCTTATTCTTGATACCAAATAAAAATCTTTAAGATAATTTTTTTATCTTAAAATAAGTAAACATCTCCTGAAAAAAGGTGTATTTGCCTTTAATTAGAGCAGGTGAGTAAGGTAAGGAACGAGGGTTTGGCTCCTAAAATAAGATTAACATAAATCCTGCACAACAAAATATGATAGATATTTTGCTAAATTCAAATGCAATAATATTATTCCAGTGAATATTTACTTGATTTACTTACTCAAATTAAGTGCAAGTGAACTTATTTTAAGACAGCCTTTACTTTTAGTTCACTTTTGCAGTGAGCTTATTTAATTAGAAACAGCAAAACCAGGTTTTCTGCCCAGGGAAACACTATGCTTGCTTTTTTTAAATTTATTTATCCTTTTTCTAACCGATTATAATCTACACCTGATTAATAATTATATTTAATTAGAATTTAGTTTAACACACATGTAAATTTGTTAAACAACAAATAAATCTTTTTATGACTAAATCATTATGAACCTTAAATCGTTCCAAAGTTTAAAATTCTCATTAATGAGGTTGAATTAAAACTACAGACACTCATTAACTCCCAGAGCGGATGAAGATGGAGTAAGAATAGGTCATTAGAAATGATGGCGATCACACCTGTGAGGCGTCTGAGAGCGTTTACCTTGTTTTCCCCCTCGATGACGATGACGGGCACGGAGGTGGCGGGCCAGCGGTGTTTGGCGGGGAGAGGCTTGTCGCAGTTCCACAGGACGATAATCTGAAAGAGGCAGACAAAGAAATAAAAAAAAAGGTTTTTCCAGCTGTGTTTTGTCACATTTAATCATCAGTTACTGTTCCCGCCACAAGAGACCAAACCCTCCCTGCTTGTTGCAGCAGAATGCGGCGTTTATGTGGCCTGCGACCAGAAAATGTCACCTTGTTACGAGCTGATTTAATGTTAAAGAGTGGAAAAGGGCGATCCAAGTGATGAAATATTTCCCAATTATCATCGCGCAGAAGCTTTAACGTTTGGAGCGGAAACGGTCTTGCTCATGTTCCAGTCAGATGATGCGTCAAGTGCGGAGGTCGCGCTCCCAGCCGCGGTCGTGTCATGTTTTAGATGACTCACACAGCAGCGCAGCAACCTACAGGTCAACCTATTCACAGAGTTACAACAGCAGGACTCATTAGTATTTAATGAGAAACACACACAGGCATCAACGGCCTAACAGAGACGCTTATATTCATGCAGCTTCATATTCTGGAGAGGAATCATGTGGAGACAAAGTCCTGCTAGTTAAAATAAAACAGCAGAATAAAAGTTGTGCTGTTCTTCATTTAAAATGTGACGGAGTGGGCGCCTAGTCCTCCAGGTCAGGGTGACACGGAGAGCTTAAAAAGATGCAAACTGGATTCATTTTTTCTCATTTCCTTAACAGGAAAAAAATAAAGTTTTTTGCTGTAGGTTGGCTGGAGTTTCACTAAGACGACGTTCTGTTCTCATGTACAGGACAAAAGAGCATGCAGAATCAGGATGTGTATTTTATAACATGAGTTTGATCTAAAATCATCAGATATACCGTAAATCCTCTAATATAGGCCCGGGCCTTTATTTCACTCAAGTGCATCGCGGTCCAGGCCTTTATTGGAAAGAGGCCAGAATTAGAGACAGGCCTCTATTGCTATTTGAGCAAAACAGACTACCAGTGGAATGAATAAAAATGAGATTTTGTGTCTATTTGAACCTATAAAACACTAGGTTCATTTATTGAAAAAGTACAGTTACCATGTCTCGCTTGGTTTGAAGTAAAAAAAAAAAAAAAAAATCGTCCAATTCTGTTTAATCCTCCTCCTCAGTTTCCTCCTCCTCTTCATCTCTCCCTTTATTCTCCTCATCACTCGCGCTCCTCCTCATGTTCTGCTGCGTTGTCTGTTCTCTTCCTCGCGCAGACGGGCAGCAGTCAGGGCCTTTCGTCCAGCTGCGCAGGGCTGTGGTACTTGTATGTTACTACCACAAGAATAATGTTGAGGTATGCCCAGAAAAAACGTTTATAGCCCCGGCCTGTATTAGAGACCGGCCATTATTTACCTCCTCTGACAGCGAGACCGGCCAATGTTAGAGTCCCGGCCGCTATTGGAATACAGGCCAATATTAGAGAATTTACGGTAAATCTATTTAACTCTACATGCTAGTTATCATTTTCAGGATCATTTCATTTAGCTTCGTTTTTTTTCTTTAGTGCGATTCTTGCTCTCTGTTGTTTGGAGGTTTCCAGTTACTCTATGTAACCTTTTCTGTATCTATGGCTGATTGATTAAATTAATTGATTTGTAGGTTTGTCCCCTGTATTCATTATTTTTAAGCTGAAAATACAGTTTATTGCCCTTTTATAACCAAGCTTAATTTGTCTTTATTCAACCCGTCAGTGGCTTAAGACGTAAAACTACCTGAAGCCGAACTTGGTGAGCTTCTTGTTATGCATTTCTATGATAGTTGATGGATGCAAGCTTTACCTTATCAAACTTATCCATAGAATGTCCATTTTTTTTTCCAAAATCATGAAGTCAACCTGTTACATGTTCAGTAATATCCATTGTTGTGGGTATTGAAAAAAGACAAAACGACATTCTACCTGAAAAATGCAGCAGAGTCATTTCTGTCTCAGAGGAGAATATGCACCAAAGGTATAATGATCATAATGATTTGGGGGAAACAGGTTCTGACACTCATGGCGGATTGGAAATCCACTTCTACATCCCCCCCTTAATCCCCTAATTAGAGTTGAGTGAAACTCTTCAGGTCATAGCAGCAGCAGCAGCAGCATCTCTTCCTGTGACTGTAGGTCTCTGAGCGTCAGCTAACACCTGCCCTGCTGAGATGTCCTCGAGCAAGTCTGTAAATTCACCCATCCTGGTCCATAGGTGCAGAGCTGGAGCTGTGATCCCAACGGAGGTGAACCACAGGAATTTCCCTGCAGCGATCAATAAAGCTTTGGATTACTCAGACACCGACTACGTCACACACCGCGGCTCTGATCCCTGACTGGACCTGCAGGATAATGTGCTGACAGGTAATTGGAAGCATTAGAGGCGGCCTGGGCTGAGGTATTCCTACAGCAGCTGTGAGTTAATAAGCGAAATAAGACGATGATGTACAGCTGTTTGAACGATTGCTAAATCATCTCACTAGGAATAACAAGAAAAAATATCCTTCATGAAGCTAATTGGGGTTTAAATATTGCTGTCAGAGTGAGATAACAGGTAAACTGTCTGCACAGATACACACAGATGAGTGTAAATGCGCCCATAGACACTTATATCACAGTTTGATTAGGGAGACAGATGGAGTCTCTGTCGGCTCGCCGCCCTCTCTGGGTGTTGACAGGAAGCATTGTCTGAATATGCTGGATAAATGGCTGGAGGAGGACGGTGGAAGACACTCCCAACAAAATGTCTGCACACAGGCAAACACGCTGCGGGGGGGCACCCAGTCAGAATGCGCTTCAAAACCTCTGAGTCGTCCAATTTAGTCCCTTTCCTCTGCTTTCATTCTCCTCATTCAGTTATTTATCCCTGATCATAGCTCAGCAGCAGCACCTCTCAAGTGCTCCTCTTTTTTTGTGAACTAAGAGGAACAAATACCCCCCACAGCTGTGCACCATGCTCTCCACTCTGCCTGCGCAGCCTGGAGAAGGAAAACACAAAAGCCTCTCCATGACAGGGACTACCGGGGTGAACTGTACTTAAAAACAAGACAAACATAAAGTTTCGGTTCTTTTATTAGTCCAGCTCGCTGTGTTCATGGAAACACTGCAAACAGGGGAGCAACTACATATTTTAGGGGTGGATATGGATGCGTTTTATGTTGCATATTATATCAGGTACTTCCAAACAAACTGAACTGTAAAGTGTTTTAACAATATATATACTGTGCACCCGGAGAATAAATAACCAATATCCAGCTAAGGACATTTTTACAGTAATGGATATTTGAAAATAGCAGCAACATTAGAGGTGTGCAGAATGACAGCAGCAGGTTACTGAACTGACCAAGGTTTATATCATTAACATTTGCTTTTATTTGTTCATGCTCCCAGAGATTGTCAACTTTATTCCACTCTGGATTCGCATGAGTGAAGTCTTTTTTCACTTTACAATAAAAATAAATAAATAAAAAGAAACAGTTTTGAAAAGTTCGGTATTTATTTTTTTCCTGCTTTGTGTGTCAACTCTCACGGTTGCTAAGCAACATAGCGTACAGCGGAGAAATAAGCACGGAAAGCTAGACCTGTTTGAATTTACAGCCAAAACTCTTCCAGCCTCCTTATTTTCACGGACTTCGAAGGATCCAGTCCAGTTAGACCGGGTCCTTGGATTGGAACACAGCCGTAGTCTAAGATTTAAAAAAATAAAAATAAATAACACGTTCTCTTAGGGGCGTGTACCCAAACCACCTGAGTGGGAAGGGAGAGCGATATGAGGGGAGGTGAAGGACCAGAGGGGCACATAATCAGTGCCGCTACTCTGTTATTGATTCTTTTATGCTGCAACATATAGAAGATGCCAACAAGAAAAACATTTTTTCTACAGGGGGTTTTGACGCCCCCTCTAGTGCAGCGCCCCAGGTGCTGTAACACCTCTGCCACATCTGAGAGTGGTGCTGTAAAGCTACCACAGAGGATATAATTTTACAGTAGGCATGAGAGAGTAACCAGAGGGAGAGAATGGTAACAACTGTAACGATCCGATCCGTACAGGAAGCACGATCCGTAACATCAGCTCATTTGTACAGATATACATAGGGGGTTTTGATAAATAATGTAATTATGGTTTTAACCTTACTTATTTCTATCCTTATCTCACTAAAGAATAATAATACACATCTTTAAAAAATGTTTTTTGATTTTCTGATACAATTTAGACTCTTTTTAGATTTTCTCTGCTTGTCTGACGTCACAATAAGCCATGCTCATAGTAGCCTGGCAAAATATGATGAAACCATGTTTATCTGCATTTTAGTTTTAGTTACTCTAAACCATAATGTTAACATGAAAGGAAAACATAAAACTTAAAAGCCGAAAAAGTTAGCTCCCGGAAGTAGCGTAGGATTGGATTTTTAATGCATTTATTTTCTCAGGAATACATTGTTAACCTTAAACACATTATAGTTTAGTAAGTTTGCTATTTTGGGGGAGGAAAAAAGTAATTTAGTTTTTTTTTTTGCAAAGTTAAGTCGAGGCTGACCCGGATGTATAGCTGGTTGCATATCCACAAATAAGCTGACAGTACGGATCGGGTAGGGACACCAACTACAAAAGTTTGTGGGGACTGGTGCCTTTGAAAATCAACTTAAAAAGATATCAATCTAAAAGGTTAAACAGAATTTGCTTCCATTGAAACAGGTGCTAAAGCTGCAGATGGATCATAGTGCTACTTTCTTCCTATTGGTTTGATTTCATTTGCATCAGCAACGTTTTTAATTTTGCAAAGCATTTTCCCTTCTAGCATAACTCATGAGCTGTTTTTTTATGCTGAATTGCTTTAGGGTGAGTGATGTTATTTTACATCAGCAGTATTAATATTTCTGAGTGCTTTGGTACTTTCAGAAATGAAAGAAAAAAAACATTTATAAGAAAAATAAATCTTATTCTTTGGTGTAAGAACGGAAGTCTGGAAATGGAAATATACATTTAGCAGACTTTACATTCTGTTCTTTCTACAACCAATCTATTAATAATTCCAGTTCCTCCGTCCATTTCTGTTTGTCCATCCAGCTGTTTTCCCGCTCCTCCTCTCTGTCCACCCAGTCCTCTGTCCTTCCATTCATTTAGTTTTTCCAGATGTCTAGTTGTCCATCGCTCCATCCGTTTCTCCCCCATTAATCTATCTTTGCTCAGACTCTAAGTTGACATGGTGAAAGTCTCTTCCATAAATCCAGAGTAAAGGTTTATTGTTCCGTTTTTAAAAGCTAGCAAAAAGCGACAGATAACCCAGAGAGGTGGGGTCTGATATTGTTGAGTTTTGACTCGGAAAATATTTCTCTATGGTTAAAAACCATAAATATTCAGTTGGACGGTCTCTCTCATGCACTGTGTTGCTCGCACAAATAAACCTAAACACACCAACACTCATTCCCACAAAAACACCCTCCACCATCCAGAAGCAAATTCCATTTCATTTCCCGCTTCGGTCTGGAGAGAACAGGGAAATCAATACACGCCATCTCCAGCTGTGCAGAAAGGAGTCTTGGCTGCCATGGAGACAGATGTACCCCGGCTACAAACTGCTGCTCTAATTCAATCCTCCAGAGTTAATTCACAGCACACATAAACAGAGGATGAGCTCTGCTATCGCTCTGGTTGGAAAACACAATTGTGGAGCGGGACGCGCAAACCGCATGATGCAGTGCAGGTGTTTGAGTCTCCGGATAAATGACGGCAAACATTTACCTGTGCACAGTACTGGGATTTGGCCACAGCTACCAGCAGCTTCAGTATGGGTTGGGACTGGGACACCAGCGGGGAGACGGCGTGGATGACTGCAGTGAACTTAGGGTACGGTTTAATACCTGCAACACAAGAGAAACACAATCAGCAATGATCTTAAATCAAGTTTGAAAGCTTACAGACGGCGACTGTCAGGCATCAGAGTAATTAAACTCTGAGAATGAAAGCCTTCAGTTCTTCTTTAGATTCTCAAACCTTTTACATCTATTTTCAGTGGAGAAGAGGCTGTCAGCAGGAACAAATGAGGAGGGTTTTAACCGACAGGACGGAACAGTTTTCAAAACAGCCTTTAAATATTCAACATTGTTAATGTGTTTGGAAAAACTCTGCATCTCTTGATCACTAAATATTCCATCTGCCGTTTTCTGCAGCTCGATAAACAGACAACCGACTGCTGATGTGACTTTAAATTCAGCCCGACTTCCTGTTGGAATAGAGTAATCGAAGCCGAAAATACAAAAAAAACAACAACAAAAAAAGGAGAGAAGACTTGGAGGCAGACAGATCATAAAGGGCGTCCAGCGTCTCCTAATTTAAATCTAATCTAACCCAAACCAGCAAAGCATGGCAGGGAGGAGATAGCATTACACGATGCTCCCCTCCACCAATCAGCAATTTATGTGGAGATTCAAATATGCAGTTTTCAAACTTTGTGAACTGCACAATTTTTACTATTTTTAAGCAGAAATATTTAGTCTTCAGTGTTTCTAAAATCTGCTGGCATGAGGCTGACCTGGAACGTCGTTATGAGACCCTGAACAGAACCTGCAGACCGTTTTTCTCTGGCTGCCTATTCTAAATTTTAGATGCACATGCTGTTTTCTGCCTGTGGCACATGATACTCAGTGGCTTTTATCATCCTCCATGAGCACATTAGACTTCTCCCTTTCTGAAAGTTTGCAAAAACACTTCAGGCTGCTGGGAGGCAGAAACATACGTTTGTACTTTTGGGATGAAGTTGTTATACAGCATGATAAAATGGTCGCTGATCTTCAACACCTACAGCTGGTGACTCCATAAAACAGAGTCTGTTTGCTGTAAACTTCATCCTAGGAAAACATCTGAATTACCTTCCAGAAATTTGATGCCCTTTCACACAAACTTTAATAAAGATTTGGGTACTAAATAGATCAACACTAGGGAGAGCAAAGTTTTAGTTTTCAGAAAGCCGGAAATATACAGAGCCCCTTTCAATCGGATACCCCAAAATAAAACCCAAACAGCCACCTTGAGAAGCCATATTGTCAATAGAGCCAGGAGGCTCATGGAGGAGCTATAGAGAGACATGGAATAGTTATAGGTTTTGTAATCTTCAAAATGAGCCTTCATAGAGAAGAGTTAAGAGGAAAGCAAAGTCAGGAGAAATTCCCATTTTGCTTTGAGGAAACTTCTAACAAACCAAACGAGTCTCCCTCTCTGCTCCATGGTGCTGGTTTCCCTGCTGTGTTTCTCCCTCTGCTGCTCGCTCCATTCATCTCCTTCCTCCTTCTGCAGGATCGGAGGTTCTGTTCACCTGTGGTGGGATTTTATTTCTTCCCATTTTGAGACGATTTTCCACTCACAACCTGTTCTGGGATCAGCCTGATTTTTGCCTCAATTGTTTATTAGTTAGGAAGCAGCCTGAGGTTAGGCCTTCAATTAACGATTATCTTGGAAATTAATGAATGTATGGATCATTTTTTGGATTCATAGATTAATAGTCACATAGCAAAAGGTTCCCTAAAGAAGATTTTTAACAGATTTAAACCAGATGAAACTAAAACTTTTCCATTAAAATTCTGGATGGAGCATATAGACAAATGAAACTGTTTTAAAAAAAAATCTTAAATGTTGAAGAGTTTCTGTACTCCAATTAAGAAATAAATTACTAAATTGAGGATTATTCCAATTAATCACAATTTATTATTGAAATAATTTATTAATCAGATTAATTATTTCAGCCCTACCCGAGTTTGTAAAAAGGCGGTCCAAAATGTTTTTTCGTACAGTAAATTTTTAATAAAGAAATTACTGATTGAGTGAGAGAATATGCTTTCGATTTTTTGGATTCAAATGAAAATATTTCTCATATATTTTTGTAAATTCTTATTTTCAAACTAAGCTTGAAAACATACAAACAAACTAAAAACCCAGAGGATCACTGATCCTCTCACTAAAGTCTGGGAAACCCTGGGTTACTGATCTCAGATTTTGAGGTTTATCTTTGGAAATTCTTTTTTTTATTTTATTTTATTCCTTTATTTGATAGGGACAAGTATGTTTCATGAATCATGTCACACACTACAACATTTTAGCTAAGGCTAATTCTCAATGCCTGTCCCCAGTTAGGCTTTTACACAAAACACAGTGACTGTACACAAGAAACAACAGAAGAAATTACACACTGAAACATCACAGAAACAAGATCAGGTCAGTTAGATTATTAGTGTTTAAAGTTTAAATTTGGCTTTTTTAAGTCTCTCAGTCAACAATGCTATCTGGCCTCTCCAGTGTGACTCGGGGTGTTAATATGCATGACAACAACCTTGGTAGTTTGTTATTGGCTCTTTGAGAGGGAGAAGAAAGTCTGTTAGAAAGGAATGATCTGTCTTTGGTTTCACACATTTACCCATCAGTGACAAGCCACTTTGCCTCCTAAAAGCCCATCCGTGTTTAATTGCTTCCTCCTTGACAAACAAATTCAGTAGCAGCCATTGTAATCCCTGCCTGTCACCACATCCATCCATTTTCATAACCGGAGGCAAACCTGGCTGCTTCATCAGCCGAGTTCATTCTGCTGCTGCCTGTCTGTGTGTGTGTGTGTGTGTGTGTGAGCAGCAGCAGTCGATGATGATGGAGTGAGGAAGTCAGGTTGCAGATACGTGGCAGAGGGGGAAATATTGGCGCTTCTGAACCATAGCGGCAGGAATTTGGTCTCAGCAGTGACGGCAGCAGCAATGCTGGCTTTAAAACCAGTGATGGACGGGGTGGAGTGTCAGCAGAACTAATACAAACATCCGTCACGGGCCCATTGGTCCACTCCACTTGCTGCCCGACACAGCCACTGGAGGAGCAGCAGGTCGGTGTGAAGGTTATTGTTATGCTGCCAATCAGATTTAGTCCAAGAGACAACCGTCTCCTGTTTCCTGAGAAAACATTCACTCCTTGGTCGCAACAGCATTTAAAATAATTAACACCCAGGTCCGGTCAAAATATGCCTTTATGAGAAACTGTGTCGTAATCTGATGAAACTAGGTTGAACTTTCCAAAGCTGATAAAACACGACTACAGAGAAACACGGCAAGGGTAGCGTTATGGTTAGGGACTGGTTTTAGTCACAGTTTCAAAGCAGCCAACAGAATGGAACAAAACCTGTTGTGTCTGAAGATGTAAAGGAAAATAACACGGACTGGATGACTTCAGCAGAAGAAAGTTTTAGAAACGCTATGGTCCAACGATAACGTTTTAATTTGAGCCAAATCAAATCCAATAGTTCCTAAATTTTGAATGCTCATCCTGAAAGACCTTCTCTTCAGGAATTGTTTAAAGCGTCTCGAAAAGGTGCAAGGCTCGGCTAGAATTTTTTTATCTAGTTTTTTGTAAAGCTAGAAGGCTAAATTGTCCAATGGCGGTTTGAGGAATGAAGACATTTTTCATTAGAGGTAATGTAGGAACTATAATAATCGACTATGAAGACAGAAACATGCAAACTTTGAGCAGCTCCCATTTCCAACACACTTTTTACCCCCAATGGATGAATAATGCAGGATTTATTTCACATTAAAAGTGAATTCATTAATTATTTTGTACAGTCCCAGGTATTATGTTATATTTATAATGTGCTTGAATATTTTAGAGAGACAAAATATTTACGTTTCTGCAACAAAAATAAAAAAAAAAAGTTCTGCAAGTTGGCAAAAAGGGGAATGTAGGTAAACTGTGTGACGACTGCTTGGCGGCTTAGTGCTGCTCTGATATTGTGTTACTGACCCAATGTGGCGTAGTAGAACGGGAAATCTCCCAAGTAGCCCGAATACTGCGGCAAGGCAAACAGGCCTCCAGGGTGACTGTTCCACATCAGGCTGCTCCTGGAGCCGTCCTCCAGCACTCGGTCCTGGATTATCTGCACACAAGAAGGAAACCAGGTAAAGACTTCAGGAAGAAAACTACTGAGCTCAGTTTTAACTCTAATCAGGCTGTAGGTAACACGTCTTTGTTGGTGTCAAGCTTCCTTTTCTACGCTGCTTCACAAACTCACCCTGATTACTATTATTGTTTCATGCTGTTCACTTTTTAGGGAAATCTAATTTTCAGAAACTAGGATGATTAGAAACTAGGACTCCGATAAAGTCGGATGATTAAAAAAATTTTTTTTTTAGAAACTGTATCTTTAGTAGACCTAAAAAAGAGATTTATGCTTTAAAAGAAAACTGTTATTTCTTTTTGGTTTATTTTGAGTCTCCGAAATTACCTTTTAATCTGCAAGGTTTCCTGATCCGTTCAGGCAGAAACCAACACTAAACTTCCCCTTCACTCATTTAATAGCCATCCCAGAGAGCTCATAAAAATGAGAATTATACGAGTGGATAAAAGATTGATCGTTAGCCTCTCAGATTACAATGTATGAAATCATAAAGGATTTTTATCAATGAGCCTTGTAATCACACCAATAAAACATTTCACACAGAGAAGAGTTTCCACACAACAAGGAGGTGAAGCTGATTCTCAGACTTTAATGAATTTTAGAGCAGCTTTAGCTGCCTCGGTTCAGACAAAGAGCGCAAACCGTTTTCCAAAGGTTATATGACAGCTTTAAAGGGAAGGTTCAAGTAAAGAAGCGATCAATCTGGGTTACTATAGAGATAGGTAGCTCTATTTCAAGATTTTGTCTTTTAAAGTCTCTTGTGATCAAAATGTTTATCATTATGTCTATAAAATAAATCAAGCAGTACAGTTAAAATTGTGTACAGTTAGTATAAAACACATTCATTTAAATAGAGCATGATGTAGTGAGCTAATCCTGGAGGCCATGCTTCCTTTACATAATAAATTACAGAATTACTTACAACAGGCTGTAAAACAACTAATTTTCTCCTTTAAATGAGCTTTTCTGTAGTATAATCGTTCCTGTAGTATAAGCTGATCTAAGCTAATTAGCATGTAAACGCCAGCATGACTGAGGTTTTTTAGTTTGATGATGTCTGGGTGATCAAATTCTGACAAAAAAAAACATCATATGTTTTGCTTTGGGAGTTTATAATGAAAATATAAGATTAAAATCTTGCAGAGAAAGTTATTCATCAAATTAAATGTTTATATTGAAGTCTAGTTTTCTTTATCGCCTACGTCTCTCCATCTATTTCTGTCTAGACTTGCTTATCATGTTTTGATTGCTCAAGAAATAAGTGAAAATGTTGGCAAGGAGATTAGAAATTATAAAACAAGAAAAACAAGAATCCTCTTCAGTAGCTGAACAGGAGGCTGGTTCTTTTCCTTGGTCCACTAGCTCTATCAGGGAGAAAACCTTCCTAACATTCCAACAAAGTTAAAAAAGTGAAAAAAAAAACCCAAACCCTTGGACTTTGTTTTCCAAGTCTGAAGACGTTTTGCTTTTGATCCAGGAAGCTTTTTTAATTCAAAATGTCTGGAATGGCGTTGAGTTGCAAGCTTTATAGAGTAGCCCAACAAAGCCTTGTTATGGCTTAGAAAACAGTCAAATTGAACCGGAGAACAGGTCCACCCCTTAGTAATGGGGAGTGAAAAGGGGAGTCGTTGTTGGCCTGTCTGACCAGGCGAGTTGTTTTGGTTCCCTGCACGGCGATGTGGTTTGAGATGATAGCTGGAAGGAATTAACACTATTGCTGCATTGTCAGTTTTTCAGAGCTGAGAGAACCTTCCCTGTTTAAGGTTGATTTTTCTCTTAACATAAATGGCTTCCTTCACACTCCTTTCAAAACTATCATCCAGATGACTGAGAATCTTCTCCAAACCTTACCCTAACATTTCCTCTGTGAGGGAAGAGGAACCAGCTAGATGTTCAGTGATCCTCGCCCACATGTTATGGTTTCAGCCATCATAAAACATCTGCTCCACCTATGGCGTATCCGGAACTTTTTAATTGGTGACACAACAAATTTATCTTGGCCATTCTTCATGAATACCAACTCAGCACCCTTCAAAATGCCTCAACTCACTTTTTATCTTTTCCTTCAGGAACGGCTACGTAGAACAGTTAGCATAATATTAGCGTGGGTGCTGTTCAACCAAAGTGAGTCATGCTGAAAATCAGGGGTGCAAGAATACATCAATCCAGATTCCAGTATGATTAAATGATTAATGATCCAATTACAGAGATGTAAAAATAGAAACATCAATACACAGTCTTCCTTAAGATCTGCCTTTGTTTTGTAATGCAAAAGGCACAAGACTATAGTGAGATGGTGATCTATTATTGTTTTTTCTACAATTAGAAGAATGCTTTAGAGATGTTTTATGTGGGTTGATATTAGTAGAAACATTCATCACAGTCTTGGTGAAATCAGCAAATTAATAAAATCAAATGGATATAATGTGGTATCGTGATAAAAGCTGCTGGTTTACAGCCCTAAGCTTACCTAAAGTTTCCTATATCATGGTTTCATAGTGCTCCATAGTTTCTCCTCCACTTATCCAGAGGATTTCATTCAGCAACCTTGTTTGCATCATTTCCGTAGTTTTCTACTGAGAAACACTGAGGCGGTCAACTTAAGTATGAACCTGTTGGTCCTGTGAAAAACGATTAAACCTGACGTTTAACTCAGATGTCCTAGAGAGAACATGAAAGGTGGACATACGCTGACAAAGATGGATGTTTGGTTTCCCTATTTAAACATTTATTTAAACGATGCAACTTTAATTTGAAAAAAACCTCAGATCTTAATTATCAGGTGACTAATCAGACTAAAATAAATTAGCATAATAAGCTAATGTAACCAGGTTATATGACTACTTTGTTATAAATAAAAAAATATGTTTTCTTACCAACAGTCTACATGTCACCTGAACACTCCATCTATCCAGAACATGCAGCTTAAACCTTTCCACTTAATTTCTTCTTCTTTCATATTCTTTTGTAAATTATCTCCTATGTTATGTATTTTGCAATCTATATAACTGCAGGTTAAAATTGTAAGAATAGCTTAGCTTCTACAATTTTAGCCTTGCACCACCTTAAAAGCAGCTATTGATGGCGTTGAGAGTAATATGTTGCTGGCTTGCCTCACCAAGTGAAGTCAAATTAAACGAGTTCTCTGGTTATAATATTTCCCAAACGGGTCAGATCATGGAGCAAGAAGAATGTGTGCCGATCAGGCGGGGGGGGTCTCAGCTGTAGTGGGACAATGCAGACAGAGTTGTCAGCTGTATCTAAGCATCAGTCTGTCAAGCCTGCCTCAATACTTTCTCGGCCCAAATGGAGCAGTCAGTCAAACGATCCGACGGGAAAATGGGCACGATTTTCCTCCGCTAAAGCTTGGAGACGCCTTCTGCTGAACAGGCAGGCGGAGGATGAGAGATATTGCTGCTGTGCCCTTGAGCCAAGCTAAATTGCTTCAGTAAAACAGACACAGGTTTGTGGCCGTGTTTTATAGCAGCTATTGAATAAGGAGGTGCCCGGCTGTGGCGAGGAAACTCAAAAGGTGAATATATAGCCCTGAAAAGAGACAGAGAGAGCTTTGTGAATGCTGTTCGCACTTTAGAGCTAATAATACAGAGGAAGAGGACGGTGCCGTACTAACTAACAAAGCAAAATAAAACGTCCTCAGAGGGGAAGTGATGTGAGGAAAGAGAACAACAGCACAGTGTAAGTTTCTTTTACTTTTCCGAGCTCTGTCCCCTGGGGGCCAGTCGATAACGGTTCGCTTCAGTAGAACAGATTACCTAAGAAACCCGTCGACTTCTCTATAAAAAAAGCCCCGGCTGCCACCTTCAAACCCTGCAGCCCTTTACACCTTATGACGGGCAATTCTGCTCGCTTGGCTGCAGCTCCTCCCCCGTCGGCGGCCCTCAGTCGGACATGATGGACGACTCAATCTCACCTCAGAACAGCCACCATCAACCAATTACAGCGTGACAGATAAATCCTGCTTCTGTGGGAGCACGCTGCAGACCCAGCTTTAATTGGTGAGTTTAATGGCTGTACCGGCAGCACGGCTCTGATGATACCGTCCTTGTGATTGGTTGAAATGCTGCTGTCCCTGACAGAAAACAACACATGATGGGTTAACTTTTATTAGCTCGCTGCTGCAAAATACCAGGTATAGCCTTTATATTGGGCTACGCTGATGAGCTGCAAGATTTAGCCCCGATTGTCATTGAATCAGGGTTAAAATAAATAAAGAAATAAGTTAAAGTAATATATGGTTGGAAAAAAACCACAACAATTAAAGTAGCGTGGCATGAACGGGACGAGCCTTGATTTGTTTGTATTTTTGTTCAGGTGTTTTTCTCCCTATTGATAATATTCCACAGAAAGATTATATAAGCCATTCAATAAAGTTTTTTCAGTATAGTGGAAACTACTACCTTTTCTTGTAGATAGCCGTTCATATTAAAGTTTTTCTTAATAGTTCAGTTAATTTTTTCCTCCTTTGCTTTCCTCTAGACTTTTCCCTCCATCTAACTTTAGCACTAATTTGCTGAGTTGCAGCGGTCTGAAAAAAATTCCTTTTTTTGTGTTTTTTCCTTATTGTGGAGGCTCAAAGTTATACTCACCTGCACAGAATTAATAAGCAGTTTTCCCATAAAACTCTGGTAGTGTGAGAAGAACTGATTTTTAATAGCTTTCATGTAAAACAGTAAATGTCTGACCGAAAGAATTTTAGCTAACTTTACTTGTAAGAAATAAATGCTTAATATGCATTAGTATTTGTTTAATAAATTACATTTTTTAAATGATATTCTAATTAACGAGGATGCATCTGTAAATGCTTTGCATCCACAGATCTTAGCTGAATATTCTTTCGCCTCAGAACTGCACAGCATAATAGGTAGAAATAATCGGAGTGGCAGATTGTGCAGATTCACTTACACAAACCTACAATGTCACCCATCATCTGCAACCCAATTTAAATATGTCACCTGTGCTCCTTTTTGCTCTTTCTTGCACATCCTTCTCTCTTTTTCACTCCCAGCACCATTTGCTTCAGGACATTTGGTCAGACTGAGTTTTTTTTTTTAAGCCATCAGTGCATTTAAAACAAACAACCATTAGTTGAGTGAGTCCAAAGCTGTCTCAGTGTCACCTTGCACTTCGGAGCAGAGTGATGGCGTGCTATGCTTGGGTGCAGCCATGTGCGTCTGGCCGTCTTAACATATGAAGACGTTCGTCTGACTCTGTGTGATGGGTCGCAGGGAGACATGGCTTTGTATCAAACATACCAAACATGTTGAGCCAGATCAAAAGTTTGACTTTGAAGCTAGAAGCTTGTGTTTTGTCTTTCAGGAGTGGGTGGAAATGGGAAGTTTGGATAAAGGGTTTGAGTAGTTGCAGTGTTCAAAACTGTAGCTTTGGCAGCAATGTGGATTCAAAAGAATGAGAAAAGGAAAACATCTGGAAGATTACAGACAGAAATGAAGGAAAATGTACAAGGCACTAAACCTTCACTCCTTTTTTCACATAGACTTGTTTTGTCAACTGTTCAAATCTCGTTTAAAAGTCAGAAGCAAACCTCTAAAGAAACCGTGTGAAAACCTAAACAACGAATGATTAAGAGCACTTAAACAACAAAAAGAAATTCAGGATGCTTGGTGAAAAAAGGCTATTCAGAAAGTAGGGATGAACCAGGACATCTGCTCATTACTTCATCACTTGTTTAGAAAAACATAAATTCAACCTGATTTGATGTGGATGTCCACAAGAAGCAGTTTTTCAGAGCACGCTGTCAACCAAACGGGTTCCTGCTGCTGCAGTTCAGCTTTAGAGCAAAAGCAGATGCAAAAGGGAAACAGAAAAGGGAAAATTGGACTAAAACGTGGAGCAAGAAAATGGTCGGTGGTGCCGGTGTACGGCGCTTCTGTCAGCGAGCCCCAGGGCAGCTGGGGCTACAATGTAGTTTGCCACCATCAGTGTGTGAGTGAATGACTGAATTTAGTGTAAAGTGCTTTGGTCAAGTCTCCTATCTATATAAGCCATATAAAAGTACAGGCCATTTACCAAAATAATTGTTTAAAATGCTAAAATTATATCCCCCACACGAAACTCCAACCAAGAAAAATTCTATTACTTAACAGAGAAAGCTAAAAGTTGAATTCCTGCCAGTCACCAGGTACCCAAATGCTAACTACAGGTTATCTGTCCAGAAGGAAAGCAGAAACCTCCAGTTTATTTCTCCTTTGCTTCCTTAAGTCAGTACCAACTCTCTAAAGTTTGACTGTTCACTCATTAAAGCAAGCTATGGGCAGAGATTAGCAGCTAATTTAAGAGTTTTCAGCAGAAGACCTCTAGATAAGTTACATCAGAGAATCTGATTGTTGACAAATGTTTATAAACGACAGGAATAAAACTTAAAAATAAAACAATGATTTAGATCATTGCTTTGCAGTAACCTGACTACTACGCTGCCTCATCTAAAATCCTATAAACTTCTTCCTTCTCATTGTATAAAAAAAAAAAAAAATCGGCTTATGTTACACAAAAAAACAAAAATAGATCCACTGGAAATTTGTTAGATACACCACGACACACTATGAAGGGAATGGCATTACCAATTTTGCATATTCATATACCTAAATCTTTGCTGGTTTTTTTGTATAACAGTTTAAAATCCGTTAGACTGGGAGGGTTGGCTTCTTTAAGCATTATTTTCTTCTGCTTCTGTCTGAATTGGATTTAACTCTAGATTATTCTAAGCTTTGACAATAACCATTTTATTGCATCTGTCTGCTGTTGTTCTCCTTGTTTGAGGCCTTTGGCAGTCGCCAATCTTCCTATCTGCATTGCCCATGTTTTACTCCATCAATGTCCTCAAGAACTAGACACAGATTCCTGATCACCACAGTATGATGACACCTCCACCCTGTTTAACAGCAGGTAACAGTGAACACAGGAGTAAATGCTGTATGGTGTTAGCTCTCCCTCACACATGAAGGTCATAACCTTTAGATTTGGTTTCATCTGATGAGAGCCTCCTCTTTCGCATGTTGACTCTAATCCCCACATTGTGAGAAAAACTGAAAATTAAACTAGTGATTTTTTCCCCCACTCTTTTATAAAAGCTAGGTATGTGTGGTATATTAGCTGTCCTACTGATGCCTGCTCCTCTAATGAATCCTCACATGGTGTGTTCATGTGGACCGTCATGTCTTGGTAGGATTTGCAGCTGTGAAATACTGAGATTCAAAGCATAGATTTGTTTTTAAGTGGAAAATTTTCTGCATGACCTTAGTGGTCATTCATATACAATAAAATAAATAGAGTCCTTCATAAGTACTCTTGTCTTGTGAATGACCCTGAACCGTGAAGCTATGAGGCACAATCAGACCCATCAACCTCCACAATCACTTATCTTTCAAAGTACAGGGACAGAAGGTTTTAATCTAGGATAAGAACATCATGTTCAGAACCTTTTTTCTCAGAAAATATTTCTGACTTTCAAAATAATAAGAGTTTTCTTTTAAAATTGATAATCAGCCTGCATTTTACGGTGTGACTGGCGAGACGTCATTTTATCAACTTGAAAGAAAGACTTTATGAAAACCTCAATGAAACCCATTATTCAAATTTAGGATGATTTGACAAATGTAAAAACTCTTCATACAGAAAACCTTCAATTTTACGGACTTGATTGGCAGTGATGAAAACAAGTTTGGAGCAAAATAAGTTTAAGGGACACTGGATTAAATCCTTCCAGTAACAATAAATGATTCTTTCTTAAAATTTCTCAAGATTATCATGAAACCAAAACCTCCTCATTTATTTGACAGTGAGGATATCAAGAATGCACTATTAATGTTTTTGGGAATGAAACTCAAATACAGTAAAAATGAAAAGAAGGTTAGATCACATTAATAGAATTTGTAAGACATTTTTCATTAAAATGTGAAGGATTTTTATTCCATCCTGGCCTGTTATTGTTACTGAGTCTGCAGAGACACTAAAATCCCTCTAAGATGGTGAAAAATAAAGAAGCAGAGCACAGGAGGACAAAGAAGGCCAAAAGAGCAGGCAGCTTTGTGTACGTAGCAAGTTTAGATGTTTGCCTCCACTCCTCACCTCCAGTGTGGTCAGCACTATCTTCTCCACAGAGGAGAAGTACGCCTCCCAGAGTAACTGAGTCTGCTGTCTGAGGGACAGGATCTTATCCTGGTGGATGGAGCGCACGGTGGTAGGAATCTGTAAAACAAACAGCGCTCTGGTAAAGCTCAGCACAGCACACACTGCCAGACACAGGCAGGACATTCAACAGATTAAAAAACTGCTAAAGAAGGTCAAACATACATCCACCGTAACATTTCATTTTTAGCAGTTTGTAGAATAATTCAGATAATCTGAAGAAAAGTTCATTCTAATAGCACCAATGTTTACCCATGAAAGAACATAGAACAAATTAGCTAAAGTACTTTGAAGAATCTTTATCTTTTTTAACCCTGAAGGCAGATTTTTTCCCCTTTTTTAACAAATAATAAAATTGGATCAAATTTTTTTTTTTATAGAATTTTGTTTAACTAACTAAGGATTCATAATAACAACTAGGAATCTTCTATTTCCTAGACAGCAAATTGTTAGCTTGATTACTAGTCATAATAACTGAACATACAAGTCAAGCTAGGAGGCTAGGTAGCAGATTGTTTTGCTAAATCTGCTACCTAGTTGTTAAATTTACCTTTAATTGCATGGCTTTAATCAATAGGTTTTATATATTTATGAAGCTAGCTTACTTTGCCGTGTCCAGAGTTAAGTTGCATGTGTAAAACATTATGTGCAAAAGTCCAAATTTTGGGGGCTAATTGAGAAATACACCATTACTATTCTGTGAGAGTTTAAATCCCAATAGTGGGTATTTCCTTTAAAAACTTCAGTATTTAGTGATTCCATAAAATACTGCCTCCTTGTGGTGAAGCAGGAATACTAAACCGTTCTAAGCATTGCTACTAGTGGCTTGTGCACCAAAATCGTAAAGTAAAGACCTTTTGGAAAATAACTGAATTGATTGCAGTCTTGTACACAGGGGCTAGACAGAGCGTGTGCTGTAGCACCTACTAGCCAACATGCATGAACAGGAACATTGAGTGCAGGTTAGTATTGAAAAGATTTGGAAAACTTAGATGCAACTTGGGCTCATTCTGATGAGGATCTCAATAGCTGCTGTGAAAAAAACCCTTAAATAATAAGCATCTTTCTCTCAGATAAATTGCTAATCAGGCTGTTTGACAGTAAACTGCACAGTTGCAACATTAGACTTAGATTCATCTTTATTTATCCCTATGGGTTACTCCTTCAGAGAAATTCTGGTTCAAGTAGCTTACGTAGAGTAGAAAGGGCAGAGTTAAAGCAAGATGCCATATATGATAAAAAAACGACAATATAAAAAGAGTTGATATAATACAAAAAAAAAAAAAAAACATAAGTTGTAATAGTTGTTTCTATTGTATATTAAATATCTTAACAGTAAAAAGCTAAGGAAAGACTACATAATTGACTTGGATTATTGCACTTGGATTGACTTGTACATGTAGATTTAATATCAAGAAAATATGATAAGAATGTAATATATCATGGTTCAACTTGATCGATAGAGCTTTTAAATTGTTGTGTCATCCACACAAAAAGCGATGCTAAGCAGTTGGTTTATTAAAGCACCTATTAGCTTAGTTGCTTTAGCAGCAGCCTAACAATCCCGTACCTTGCTGCAGGGGGCTGCAAGAAACCTGGATCAAACAAAAAATCAAATGGCTATTTCAGCTCTAGAAGAACTGCTTTAAGAGATAACTATTTTATAAGTTTTTCCACTTTTTTTTCTCTTCAATGTGTGTACTTTAAAAACCTGTAAAATGTACCAAAAGTTTATGAAACTTTAGGATTAGCCAGAAGTGCATGGAAGGTCTTCGTATCACAAGTAAGTGACAGAAAATAATGACCATGGATTTTTATGCATCTGCTTTTTCCACCTTTAAGATGTTGATGCTTGAAGCAGCAGGTGAATTCCCATCAGTCAGGATCCGGCTCTGGTCAACAGTCAAGCCTTCATTTTTGTAACTTCAGGTAGGCTTTGGCATTTTGGAAAATACTTTAATTTGCTTTTTAGCTGTGAGCGGGATGGCAGGATCAAGCCTGCTTCCACATCTGAGCGGCGACTCTGAGGGGTTCACTTACTGCTCATCCAGGTCTCAGCAAGAAAACTAATGAGGGTGTTTACTGAGACATCAGATGTCACCTTCGAATTTGACCCCATCAAGTGTAAAGAGCAAACCAGCAGCTACACACTGGTTTTGAAAGAAAAAAAAGTAGCTTTAAAAGGAGATGTTATTTTGGTGAAAAAAAGAAACTAATGGATTATTTAAATAAAAGGAACCAAAAATAAATATTCTTTGTTTTTAAGAACATGCTTTTCATAAGCAGCATTTTGCATATTGTATGATAATAACTACTAATACAGTCATCAGCCTCCTATACTTAAATATCCCAATAATAATGTGGTTATTTGTTCTCCCTCTATTATATCTGAATTCATAGCAGCCATCTGAAGAATATTCCAGGATGATTGAAGCACATTTGGTGCTGCACACACCGAGCGCCCCATGCCAAACAATATGATCACGTACTTTATTCAAATTAAGATTTAATGGGCATATAATTACTTTTCTCCCCATGAAGCACAGGCAATTCCCACCAAATTCATTGGCCTGGTCTGCTTATTTGCCCTCTCATAACAAATTGAAGGTGCTGAGAGACATTTTGAGGGACTCTGTATGCTGCTGGAGTTTCCGTGTCTCTCATAGGCACCTCATCTTAAAACCAAACCTGGATTTAGAGCCTGGGTTTGGGTTAGTCTACTGATTTGGCATGTTTTTTTATTTTTTATTTATCAGGTGGCGCCCCCGGGAGAAGGGGATAGAGCTGCACGGGAGCCGTTACCTGCAGCAGGAGCCTCTCGTCGCCGATGACTGCGGCAGTGTTCCAGTCGATGATCTCTGAAAAAGGCAGCTCCCAGCCATTGCTCAGCATCACCGGCACACATGCAGCCTGAGACATACAAAGAGGGAAGCCTTCATTTCTGAATCTGTTATATCTACATAACTTTCTGCAAAACAAGCCTCCCCAGCTTGTATGGAAGCTTAGGGTGAATACTTATTATGAAGCAAAAAAATAGTTTTTTTATATCAGCAGGCATCAATAATAAGCAGACATTATGTATGCATCAATGTTGCAGGGATCATAGTAACTCAATATACAAGAAAAAGACCCCTGACCGCAGGATCCCAGCTCCTCGATAAACAAAAATAAATGTTCAGTCAAGATAAAGAGCAGTGCAATATATAGGCACAGATAGAAAATATGGAAGATTCATCTGCTGATATGCTAGGGTGCTTTATTTACAATGAAAATAAAAGAAATGAAAGGCAGCGTGATACAAACCAAACCTTTGATCAACTCTCACAAAATCAAAAATACACTAAAAGAATTTCTTAATTATTTGTTTGGCATCTCTTTAGTTGATTTCTAAAATATCTTTTAATCATTCAAAAGCCTCCAAACATTGAAGGAGGAGAGCGCGCTCAGAGGGCCTGAATCCTTTGAACCCAATATCGAGTGTTCATTCAGCCTTTGTGTTTGCCTGTTTTCTTCTTTTTTTTGCCACATCAGTTTGAAATGGTAACATCAGGAGCGGCAGAGTTTATTACTCAGAGGTGGTGAGCTGCAGGAATGATAAGGAGAAATGGGAGTTCAAAAACGAGAAAAAAAAAGATCAAAAAGGCAAAAGAAAGTGGATATACAGACAAAAAAAAGAAATAGATGAAAAAGGGCAGATAGAGAGGATGAGTGTGACCTTTGGCAGAAGGATGCAGGGAGCAGGTGGTGTGTGTGCGTGTTTGGTAGTTTGATGTAATGACAGCCCTGTCACTCCTGGGTCATAAAGGTGTCAGCTGGAGCTGAGGTGGCCCCTGGGCTCAGGGCACGCAACCGGACACGAACGCATCCACAGCAGGAACGCCTCGACCTCAAAGAAGAGCGGCATTCGCATGCAAAGCTCAAAAGCCTGCACACTCGGCACCCTTCATCTTCAACGGCAGGGTGGGAAACTGATGGATCATGTGAGTCAGACAAATGGAGAAAGGAGAGAAAAGGGCATATTTCACTCTTGAGTGAAGTGCGGCGTGTCTCTCTGTCCCTGTGTGTGTGGCTGCTGATAGTGAGATAAGCACACTTCTGTGGGTGCGCTCTGTGGACAGAAGTGCTTGGAAAGGAGAGGTAAAGGACAGTGCAGTGGTGCCTCAGAAGAATTAGAGAAATGGATGAACAGACACGTAGAGGGAGATAAGTGATGCTGGAGGAAGAAAAAATGATTCATCTGATTCCAATAACAGAAATGAGAGCCGGATTTTCGCATCTAATCCTGTGCAGGTTCTACCTAATCTAGAGAAGCTCAACGCTGCACCATTCACTGCTATAAGGTGTGGAGCTCCTCCTACTTGGGTGGCACACCATGTTAGCTGCATAATAAAATAAACATTTCAATTCTTATCTTTACAGGATGCCAGAACTCTTAATTCCTCCAAATAAAACATATTTAAGCCTATACCTTTATTTTGCTTCAAATAAGTTGCTTCAGTGTCTTGCTGAAGTATCTCTTGAGCATTTTTATCCTTGAACAAAACATCAACAGGTTTTACTAGTTTTTTAATAGACTAAATCATCGTAGTGCATAACTGTGAGGTTAAAGGAATGATCCAGTATTTCAAATCTAAAGCTCCCCTACAGTGAAGATTATAATTGAACCCAAACCTGCAAAAAACACATAATTAACATTAATGTTGTTTCCACAACAAGAATAAAGCAAGAATAAATCTTTAACAGATGAGAAATTGCATTTTCCAGAGTTTATCAGCAGGAATCATTAGTGCAGCACAATCTTTGGTTTCTAATTACTAATTGGAAGCGATAAATCAGATCCTAACTTCATTGGTTTGGATACAGTAACTGGAGGAAAGGTATTATTTCCCCACTAATGTTCACCCCTATCACCACATCTTGTTCCTTTTTCTTTAAGGTAAATACTGCTGCACAAACAACTGTGAACAGGATGAGGTCCTATTTATCTAGGAAGCTCATTTTCTATATAATTTATTTTCAAAGTTCTTCAGGTTTGACATCCCTTTACGTCCCTGTTAACAACTTTAGTTCTATCTTTCCATTTTCACACCCTGATCCCCAACAGTGGCGTTTCTTCATTCTCTGGTAAATATTTGAGATTTCTAATCAAAAGAGGATCAAGTGGAAAATAATGGCAGGGAAATTAATTAGCTAGCTTTTATTTGATAGGTATTAAAATTCAGCTGCGAACTGGAGGCATGACGTTGGTATTTATTATTCTTTCTAGTGATACAGCTTGCAGGGTTTTAACTTACAACAGAGGCCTTGCTAACTCAGGATACTCTGGGTTTGTGCCGCTGTACTTTGTTTTAAAAAAATAGTTTTTACCTGCAGCGCTTCCAGGAAGCGAAAGGAGCCCAACCGTCTGCCCCGGGGCACCAAGCAGAAGGTGGAATTGTGGAGCATCTCCTTGTAGTCGAATCTGCACAAAAGTAAAATAGACAAAAACGATCTGTGAGTTTACAGACAGAACAGCTTCAAAGGAAAATCTGAATACTTGCTTCATGCTGCAATTACATTTACTACATCTCAACTCAGACACTAAACGGTAGTTTTAAAAGGAATAGAGTGTCTATTATTGGTTGTTTTAATCCCATTTTCCATTTATATACAGTTTCTTTAAGCTTTCTTTATGTCTTCAGCCACTTTGCAGAATAATGTCCTACTCAACATCTCAGCTTCCTGCCTCCCTCTGTCTCTCCTCCTCTTCCTGCAGCTCCCTGATCCCTCCTTTTCTCCAGTGAGGTGTGTCTTATTGCTCTCCAAACAGGGTGATCAACCCTGCCAGGGGTAATGAGCTGAGAGTGACACCTGCTTCCACCACACAACTGGCTCTGTCTCTGTGTGATAAACTGAGGCAGAAATGAAGAGCGGTGCGTATCTGTGCATCAGTCTGTGTGTTCATGCTACTGTTCTGTTTTGACAGGTGTGTGTGTAAACCCCATTATCTTAGATGGATGGTTTCATGGAAATATTCGGACGTGGAGTGCCAGCTATTATTTTTTTTGTCTCAGAGTTTCTTCCTGTTTTCCTGAACTGCAGCTAAATAGTCTTTTTGAATATAGAGGACTTTACCACACTGTGATGGAGATATGACCTAAGACTATTTTCTACCCCAACTGCTACTGGTTAAAATATTCTTCTTTTAATTTTGTGGAAATAATGAAAGCCTTTTTATTACCCATATTTGACCCAGTAGATTAAAATATTTCATTCACATATCTTGAATTGTGTGCCGACTTTAAAGTAAAAGCTATTAAATGGTTTCAGTCATACCAGTCAGATAGCAGTTTTAGTTTTCCAATAAAAGTCTCACATGTGGGGTGCTCCAAGGCTCAGATCTAAATCTATTCCTTTTTCTTTAAAGAAAAACCTGAAGTATTTTTATGGTCAGAAAGCAAGATACCACTCTGTATCCATATCCTGTTCAGTGCATAAGTTGATTTTTTTTAGAAGGACGTTGCTGCAAAAAAAATTACACTCAATAATGATAAACTTGCAAAACAGCAAGTCCAGATCAAAGCACCTTGGCTTTTGGTATTTTTATTGATTTTTATACAGAGGACACCATGCTTGTTTAGTGCCAGCGGGAGCTACGCAACAAAAAAGCATGAAATATTGTAGATGCATTATACATCTGATTTTCCAAAAACAACAATTACATACTAATAACTTATATGGCTCGTTGGCTTAACATTCAATGTCCCCATTGCCCAAACTATATAGTCATATTTAGTTGCCTAACAAGAAAAAAAAAGCTTGTGTTTTCTCAACCTGTGCAACCGCAGTGCAGAAATCCATAGACTAGAAGTGAGGATTAATACAGTTAATTTGTTTTCTAGAATAATTGCTGATTTCACTTCTGTTACTTTGGTTGTAAAAAAAGCATTAATGCAAACATGATAGTAATTAAAGGTTTATGACAATATAATGTTTGCAGTACAGTTGTCAAAGGCATAGATACTCAAACACTGTATCCGGATACTAGTTTGTTATGGTATAGATACTTATTACAGGTTTTATTTGCATATTTTTCTTATCGTTAATTTTAGATTTGCACATGAAAGTAACACCTTTAACAACCTAAAAATATTGCTAAATGTTTATATATTTGGGTTATTTATGTTGCATGATTTGCATTCCTGTTTAACAAATAGAATCTGTTGCATGTTGAGATTGAAAAAGGGGAATTTTGTTGTTAAAAATATTTTTTTATTTTGCATTTTTGTATCCCCATGGTATCAAAAATGATATGGGGGTATCAAATAATTTGCTATTTTGAATTTCAGTATTGTGAAATCCCTAGATTGTAGAACGTTTGATTTTAAGAAGAAAAAAATTCACCCTTGTCTTGATCCCACTGGACAACCTGTGTGAGACCTGAGTTTTAGAGAGTTATTTACAGCTGGGAAAATGTTCACAGAGGACCGCCTTTTAAAGGAGCCCAACGTTATATACATCACTCTCACTTATATAAGTGAAAGTCACTGTAAAAATTTGTTTCATACGGCCTTCTGGCAGCTGAAGAAAATCTCCAATCACCAGTTTAAAAATCATCAACAAAAATTATACCAACAGACAGGATTCCAAACAAGCATCCCTGAGGATCACCATTTCTAATCTGTTGCATATCCAACCATCACAGCAGCATCTAGTTATAAAGATGCATGACAAGTTTAGTAACTTCATATTTTTGGCAAACCTATGCATTGCAAAAGAAACAAGTTTTCTTCAAAATCTGAATGTGAAACTCATCATTGTTCCTTTTTTTTCCACAATGTTAGAGCATTTCTATTTCTATTGTCTTAGGATATTGAAATTAACAAAGACAATCTGTTTATATAAAAAACTAAATCAATTTTTTTCATCTGAAAAGATGTCTTAAGTTGTTACATTTACAAGGCCTTAAATAATAGCTGTCCCTTTCTTCTGTGGTTTGTTTTATTAAATGAAAATGAGCCCAAAGGCCCAACAGGTTTGAGGTTAAAAGACTTCAGAGGCAGAAAATCATTTGTAATAAAACTGTAATCTATACAAGGTGAAGGTTACAGGACACCTGGCATAGATTCTGCTCCATTGATCATGCTGTGGATGTACTCTGTGCAGAGGTGTGACAGTGGTTGCTGATGCTGCCTCTGGTGCAGTGTGATACATATGGATTCAGCCGAGAGGTTAAAAGCTCCTCTTCCTTTTGCCCAAAGACAAACAAAAGAGAGCGCTGAACGTGCTGGAAGGAGACCGCCCTTCGTCTTCTCTTCAGCTAAAGCCTGCTAATGTGTGGGAACACGAGGGCCTGCGATAAAAATCCCACCCCCGTTCACACCTACGTGTTGCAAAGCGTTCTCACAAAAACGAACGCAGAGAGGACAGAAGACAGCTGCACGCCCTCGCACTGACGTGCCGTCACCTGTCGGCGTAGACGAAGAAGCCATCTTAGCCCATATTTCAACACCAGCCTTCTGCCTGGACGCAGCGTGAGTAAGTTAACAGCCCACCAGATAAAACCGGCATCTGAAGGCTATGAATATAAATGTGGAGTTTAACGACCAGCAGAAGTTTAAGCAGGCAGTCCCACTTTGAATATAATACACACTGTTTACAGGTAGAAAAGTTACTTCATGTACACAGAGGATAAGTTAAAGCCTCTGGAGAAAAGCACAGGTTTCCTGCAAACATGATTTGACCAGGAATTGACAGTCGATTACTGACATCATTCACCTAACAGATCATTTTCTTTTCACAGAGTCTCAAAGATGCAGAAGGCTGAAAATAGGGTAAAATGGAGGGAATTTTCCTTTGCTTTCTTGTGACCGATGTCTATTATTTTGTGTAATAAAGCAGGTCTTCACTTTCATAAGAGTGTGAAAACCACCAATGGACTTCAAATTGAGACATAGTGCTTCGATGCGAACTTTGCTTTTGCATAAACTTGCATCTGTTTGTAAATAAGTGGAATTTGTGTGTAGATGTATTAAAAAATATTACAACCAGATCAGTTTTAGTACCCCACATATGAGGGAATGGAAAAACAAACGTACAATAAATAAAGTCAAACACAGAAAATACAAGAAAGGCAAATAGGAAAGCAGAATACGGCAGAATGAGCTCTGAATCTAAAGCCTGTTCAGCTCCTGAACATCTTCAGTCACCAACAAGAGCATGCTACTACACTGCCATGGTAACCTGTCATTAAGAGCTTTCATTTGCTCAGACTTAATTACACAAGGACGTAAATCATCCTGTCAGGATGAGAAACTATTGGAGAGGGAAGGAAATTATATTCTTTTTAGGAACAAATAAGCGCTACAAGTACAATAGATCAATGGTGCTAATATTTAGAAATGTATTCAGTGAAAAGCTGGTAGTAAATGTTGATGTTTCTTCAAATGACATGAAAGGAAGTTGTGTTTAAGTGTTTAAAAGTTGTGAAGATTAATAGTTGAATTTTAACCAGAGCATCAGATTGAGGGAGATATAGGTGACTGTTGGTCTGGATATCTCAGATTCTGCTGATCTATTGAGTTTAATGCAACATTTTTCCCATTTTTAACTTTAAGTGTCAGAAAAATAGAAAATATCTCAATTTTAGTCATAGTGGATGAAAATGCCATATTGGTTCAAGATGAAATAGGAAACACTGGTTTAAATAACTATTTGTTAGAACCAAGCTTAGAAGGAAATCCCAGAAGGGATTCGTCCATTAGGGCGACAGGTCCCCCCTCTAAATAAAAGCAATTCTGATAATTAAAAGTAAAACTCAAGTAATCTATAGTATCAATATAAAATGCTTTCACATAGTTGTAACATGAGAAGGGCAATTATTTCCACTTTTTCTTAAATCAGCCTTCTTTTTATTAGCTTTACCGATTAAGCAAATAGGCTGGTTTATGATGGTTAACAAGCTGAAGCCAGTACGCAGCTTAGCAGCAGTCAGGGGGAACACAGGAGGAGGAGAAAGGACGATGATAAAGAAAAAATGGATGAAAACAGGCAATGAAATAAAAAGGAGAGATAAAATAAAACCATTAAGATGTTAATGTGAGATACAGGCCTAGATTTTGTTTTACTGATTTTCTAGATTTGTTTTTATGAAGTCTGTTGAACAGAAACAACAGTTTTTTTAATATCAGCTGTGTAATGTCTAACGGATTGTGTGAGAATTTCTATAATACACAGATTGTATTCTTTAATAAAAGAAGCGGGTCTGTTCTGGAACCTCAAGTTGGTATGAAGGGGGGGTTATGATCTGTCGATATGAGTAGTTCAATCTGAATTCATGTTAGGTTAGGGGGGCAACATGGAAATAATAAAAGATAAGGAAGTGCCCCCTTTTCATCATCTCCAAAAAAAAAAAAGAAATCCAATGACCATCCAATGGAGTCAGGGGAAGTAATAATATTAATAAAGAATTTTAAAAAAGCA